CGGGTCGGGGTCACCAATATTGAGGCACGGGGATCGGGGCAAATAAAAGTTTAGTTAGTGATATATATATGTGTATTATTTCTTTCACAATTACGGTATATACTAATAACAATAAGGATGCGACCGTTCGCTCCCCGATTTCCCCGTGACTGGCGAGACGGCGCATTCCAAGCCATTATATATTATATCATAACTAGTGCATGGTATGCAAACCTGTAGTAGTGTGTCCCTACAATTATATATTTACATAATATATTTTTTATTGTTTGACTTCTTCTTACTCTGGTACTAGGTACCTACTATATCTTTATTTATTTATTTATGTTTATTGGTCCACAAAACAAATGACAATCAAACACATATATGTCGGAGACGGTCATCAATACGGTCGCTAAACGAAGCGCGGCATGACGCCTGAGTGATGGCAGCACCTTCGGTATTATCGCCAACACTCGGCGAGTTTCGTGCTACGACGGAGCCTAGCTAAGGGAGGGGTGCTAAGAGGGCTGGACACTTGCCTTCGAGCCGAGCCAAGCTTAGGACCGCTCCACTAGGAACTGTCTTGCGTTCCGTATTGTTTATACGTGGTAATAGTGAAGTGGTATATGGTTGTGTAGTGAAGTGCTGTTTAACTATGTACAAAGTGATTATTGTTAATTTGAAATACAACTGTGATTGCATCGACTTTCATTTGAACCAACACTTCCCATATAACGCCCACTGTATAATTCATGATAAAATAATGGAAAATAATAGAGAAAATTAATGCTGCTTCGATATCAGAAGTGGGATCAGTGTTGGTTCAATTGCAAAAAGAACTAACTCTGAGTGAACAATGACGTGCTATGTTTGAACAACAAAATGTCAGTATGTGATCTCTTATCGAGGCCATGCAAATGCCTCGGATGAAGAAGAACGTCAGGTTACACGAGTTTGACCCTGACAATATGGATACGGACGCAAGATCTTGATTTGCGACTGTAGATTTGTGTTTTGCCGAATACCCTCCATACGGCGGCTAGCTTATTTTAACAGTCAGTAAGGAATTAAAAGGATAAGGGTCGACGTGGCTGTCACAATTTGTATACCAGAGAATAACATAGGAAGAGTTCAAAGTGATTTTCAAGGTGAGATTTATTTCCACCGAGACATTGGCTGGTACGCTAATTAATTTTAACAGTGACAAACCAAATGAAAAAAGAAACTGGTTACGTACGCAAATCGCCTGATGACGTCACTGACTAATCGTTGGAAAGACGCTAGCAAGAATCAGATAGCAATTGCGACTGTCCTTGCTCACTTATGTCAGTTTAATTCGAAATTACAACGATTGGCCTTTACTACGAAAATTGCTTCGCGAGATCGACTGCAGCAGGGATTGCACGCATTCTCACATTTGAAACGCAAAGCTAGTTTATCTGATGATTTTTCAAAAGTGCCTGATGCTAAACGAGCCAAGCTAATGTTAAAATGTTATAAGTGCAGAAAAGTGAGTCATAAGCGGTCATAGTGTAGAAACAAGGTAAATGTGGGTGTGGAACGACCTTCGATGACAGCAACGGCATTGCAGCCTGCAGTGAAGTCTCTGGTGTGCTTCAAATGTGGCAAGCCTGGTCACATCACGCTCCGGTGCATAAGTAGTGCCAGTCAAGTGGACGGCAGCAATATGGGTGCTACACGAACGGAACGACGCGTGGATCTATGTGTTGTACAACCATCTTCGAATGCTCAATGGCATAGAGGTAATCTGTATTGCTTTTGTTATAATCATGTTGCTGAATATTCGTTAGTAAGATAACATTTAGCAGTCAAATTATGTGGTTAACGATTTTGTCCTTGCAATTTCTAGTATTGATCAAAACAGAATATTCCGCACAGAGTAAAATTTGTTTTGTAACGATTAACGGTCATTCTCTTGAAATCTTTTGAAATATTATGTTTTGCCTAATTATTAGTTACAAAATGGTATCATGATAGAACATGAGATATTGAAAGGTTTTCTATTAACATGACGGCTATAAATTCTTTACACAAAAATTCTAGTAGGTCATGTACCAATAGAGGTTGATGTAAATAATGATCATCATGCCAAGCAAATGTTTTAATGAAGTCGATGGAAACCGATGTAAGCATTCTGACGGCCGTAGTTGTGTCGACCGTACTAGTAACTATTACGTAGTCATAGCCTGGTAAAAGTCGGTCTTTTGAGGAAGCTCAAACTAAATAGACCGTGGGTGTGTGATGTGCGTTTAGTTCTGGCGGAGGTCGGGGTCTGTTATGACCATAGTGTGTAGTCACCGAGAGGGTGATACGGTGATCCTGTAGTGGATATGTCGACCGTACTAGTAACTATTACGTAGTCATAGCCTAGTAAAAGTCGGTCTTTTGAGGAAGCTCAAAGTAAATAGACCGTGGGTGTGTGATGTGCGTTTAGTTCTGGCGGAGGTCGGGGTCTGTTATGACCATAGTGTGTAGTCATCGAGAGGATGATACATACGGTGATCCCGTAGTGGATGCACCTGGATTGTGGAGCAATTGTTATTGCTGGTTGGCTTGTAAGGCCGTGGCCTAAGAGTGGTTTACAGAGGTGCTAGTAAATTTGAAAATTAGTTTGATTGCTGAAGTGTTGAATGATGTTGGTACATGGCTCTGGATGACTAATGTTATTAGTTAGATTAGAGATAGTTACAGTGACTTGGAGTTTAAAAAAAAAACAAAGGTGTTAGCGTTAAAGCTTTTCGTTAGAATAAAGATGATTCAGATTCAAAGTTAAGTTTTATCTGGTCAGGATTGACCGAGTCGAGCAAGTATTTTCGTTGATTATTTGGTTGCAGGCTAACACACGGCTAACACACGAGGGCGTGTGCATGCAGGATGGCCGTGTCGGAGACGGTCATCAATACGGTCGCTAAACGAAGCGCGGCATGACGCCTGAGTGATGGCAGCACCTTCGGTATTATCGCCAACACTCGGCGAGTTTCGTGCTACGACGGAGCCTAGCTAAGGGAGGGGTGCTAAGAGGGCTGGACACTTGCCTTCGAGCCGAGCCAAGCTTAGGACCGCTCCACTAGGAACTGTCTTGCGTTCCGTATTGTTTATACGTGGTAATAGTGAAGTGGTATATGGTTGTGTAGTGAAGTGCTGTTTAACTATGTACAAAGTGATTATTGTTAATTTGAAATACAACTGTGATTGCATCGACTTTCATTTGAACCAACACTTCCCATATAACGCCCACTGTATAATTCATGATAAAATAATGGAAAATAATAGAGAAAATTAATGCTGCTTCGATATATAAAATAAAACTAGTTTGCATAATTGCTTATTGCATAATTGCTACACAGGATTGCATTTTTCTAGATGCAGACACAGCATGTATCATATACTATCATATACATATCTACACTAAAAATGGAAAATAAAAACTTAAAAAAAAAACTACTTCAAATAAATAAAAATATTGTAAATGATTGTGTTTAACCCTTTATGGAGCAAAATGTTATTGGGATGGTTAAATAAGATAAAAACTAGATAAAATCAGTTTTATTTAATACTTTAAACATAATTCAAACCAAAAATATTTTTTCAGGAATAATATACTGAGTTTTCAGATTGAAGCTTTTTAGATACAAAAACACAATTACCTATACAAAATAGGTTATTGCGAACTTCGTATCTAAAAATACACAAAATGACTGAAGGGCTTATTCACTATAAACAAAAATTAGCTCTTAATAATAAAAAATAGTTAACATGAATAGGAACTTCTGTGAGATCAACGGTTAAAAGTAAATAAAATACAATTATTGAGCCCTGATACAGATAGACTATTTGGTGTGAAATTCACGGAAACAGTTACGTTTTTCTGTGATATATTCCATGCGCTTACAAGACCTCCTCTGATATTTTCATGTGCGAATCATTTCTAACATGATTACCACTTGCCTTACGGTGAAGGAAAACATCGTGAGGAAACCTGCATGTCTGAGAGAACTTAGCAAGTTTTCGAAAGACATGTGAAGTCCGCCAACCCGCAATTGGCCAGCGTGGTGGACTATGGCCTGATCCCCCTCGTATTGAAGGGAGGCCCGTGCCCAGCAGTGGGACGTTAAAAGGGTTGAATACTACTCACTATTTTACCTTTTTGTAAAAGCGTGTACGAAACGCTTAATTTATAATCTTTAAGAGATAACACTTTCTTGTCATTCAACATTTTGCAATGTCGCCTATATACTAGCCAAGAATTGTTGACGTAAATATCCACCAAATGGTAGTATATTCTCTTGTACCACTTCCTACTTTTACTGCCTGTTCGATACAGAGACACAAACATTCCCGCCAAGTCCACACCACCCATGTTCTGGTTGTATTCTGATCACAGAAATCTTAATAATAAGGTAATAGAAATGCCATTGCGGTCTTTTAGTACTGGGACGCGTGTCGCCGGCTTGCAGCTACCAACACATTGACAAACAATAAATACACACTATCGCTCACACATGCATTTTGCATTGTTGCAACAAAAATTAAACTTTAAGCGATGACATTACGCAATATTTTCTAAAAATGCATAATCTCAGAAGGCGTGATCCCTGTGACCAATAATAAACGTGTGCGAAAAGCACAGAATGATATCGCGCGCTCACTTCTAGTGCAGTACAAAGCGCATAAAGCGCCTTATTCACCATCCATCCCAGCTGTACGTCCGCTCAAGGCCGCGGCGCTAGATGTAACATACACACACTCGTGCGCGCATCCAGCATGCTAGATGTAATCGATCGATTATTCGAGGAGGTTGTGCGTGTTTATAATGCCGCATTATTTATCAAAGCGCCAAAAAATGGGAGTTCTTCTCATATTGTCAGCAGCAGAAGAGAAGAAAAAAAAATAAGAAGAGGTTCTGGATGAAAAAAATTTACCATAAGCGTGCGGAGTATACTCAAATTAATAATATAATGAATGATTTGAACGTCATAGATTTTCATACTTATCTTAGAATGGATAGTGAAACATTGGAAATGCTGTTAGGAATGGTTGGACCCGAAATTCAACGTCGTGATACTATTATGAGAGAGAGTGTCCCGGCAAAAGAACGTTTACTTGTAACCCTACGATACCTTGCAACGGGAGAAAGCTATCCTGAACTTATGGTTTCGTATGCAGTTTCACCACAGCTAATGAGTAAAATTATTCCTGAAACTTGTTTAGCTATTTATAAAGCTTTAAAGGATGAGTATCTCAAGGTAAGTCAATGAAACAACTTTTTATATATTTATTTATTAAGAAGAAAACAATCACAGTCATTCTAACCACTAATTATAATTTGCAAGCAGAAATTGCTTACCATTAGAAAACAAATGAAGTAAGTACCTAAATCATACAGTGAACAAATGAATATGAGACTCATATTCATTTGTTCATACTCATATTCAATAACATATTCATTTCTTTCTAAAAACCAGAAATTTGTTTAGCTGTTCTGTGTGTACTGGAGTAGAATTTTCAGTTTCATTATCAAGAATTATTGGAATTGATGAAAATTGCGTGTTTGGTAATTCTTGTGATGTATCTTGATACTGGGTTAAAGAATTCGCCGAAAGAACCGTCTGAGAAGGCGGATCTTTTAAACGTGGTGTAACGAAAAGTATTGTCTATAAATGGATAAAAGGTGTTATTTTTACAAAAGATATAATAGAAGGCATAGAGGAATTTTGTAATATATCTTTTAAAAAAAGTTATCAACACGCTGATTCAACCGATGCACGAATCAAAAGGGACGACATTGACGTGAAAAAATTGGAAGAATATTTTATTCAACATCCTCCATTCCCTGATGTTGGTGTCATTATGTCTATTGCAACTGGAATAACTGGGCAAGAAAACGTGAATTGCTACGCAGCTTTTGAGCAAGGTCTAAAAATAATGAAGAAAATTAATGGAATAAATTTCAAAGAAGTTAAGTTATCAAGGAAAGACAAGATCATTCCTTTGTTGGCATCCACTAGCAAAATCAAAGTGGATGATGATATTATTCCAATTAATCCGCTATTATTATTTCAGCGTATATGCGTATTAAAAAAATCTGATGAAGAACTAAAAAACTACTTGACTTATGAATTAGCTCCTTATCCTCTTGCTCTCTTTGAAGATGGTGAAATACGAAAAACAACAAAATCTACATTTTATGACATATTCCCAGAAGTGTCAGTGGATGTGAACGATGTACGAAAATTTTCCTACGTCATTGATGGAGGGATGTTATTACATCGTTGCAAGTGGCAATTAGATGAAAATTTCGGTACAATTTGTCAACATTATGTCAGATATCTACATAACAATTATGGAAACAACATTTATGTCGTATTTGATGGTTACAAGAAGAGCTGCACAAAATCAATGGAACGAACGCGTCGCTTTAAAAAAAACGCATGTAATGACATAATATTTGATAAAACCATGCCACTAAAAATAGCGGAGGAAAATTTTTTATCGAATGCCAAAAATAAGAGTAGATTTATAGATATGCTACGAGAAACACTCACAGAAAATAAAATATTTTCTTGCCAAGCAGAAACTGATGCCGACAGACTAATAATTGAAACTGCTGTTAATCTGCAATCTGAAAACATTGCTGTAGTGTCCGAGGATGTAGATGTTTTAGTTTTATTGACTGCGCTCTCACCACCAGACCGAGAAATTTATTTTCGAAAACCATCCAAAGGCAAAATACTGCAAAGAGCGTACTCTTCTAAGAGTTTAGAAAAAATATTACCAAAGTGTAAAGAGCATATTCTGTTCTTACATGCATTCACTGGATGTGACACGACGTCAGCTTTTTTTCAACGTGGCAAAAACGTGTTTGCAAAAAATTTCGAAAAACGAACGGACTTGCAAAATGCTGCGACAGTTTTTAAAAATGAATGCAAAGACATCGATGAAATTTTTAAGGCTGGTGTTACATGCACTCTTGCTTAATATAATGCCCCCCAAAAAATGAAAGATCTTAATGCATTGAGATATAACTCTTTTTTGAAAGCAACTGCCAAAAATACCTGCGTTAAACTGCCGTCTTTACCACCTACTGCAGATGCCGCTTTTGAACACTTCAAAAGAGTATATTTACAAGTTCAAACATGGTTCGGAAAAGAAATATTACCAGAAGAATGGGGTTGGAAAAATGAACGCGGAATATTGATACCGCAAACAATGACGCAGCGACCAGCTCCAGAATCTTTACTAAAAATTATTTTTTGCGCATGCAAAACAGGATGTGGAGCATCTTGTGGGTGCAGGAAAAGTGGATTAAACTGCACTGCAGCTTGCTTAGAATGCAATGGTGATAGCTGTACTAATCCTTTACCTACAATCTACATCGACGAAATCGACGACGACGACGACAATAATGAACAATAATCGATATAGTTAAGGTTAAATTATCTTTTGTAAATCATTTTTTTTGCGAAAATCTAATAAATTAACATTGAATTTACTCTGCAAACATAATTTATTACATATAAAATTAAGATCTTTACTGTAAACATTTTTTCCCCCTTGCGCCTTTAATTTTTCAGTAAATTGTTTATAAAAATTGTTGTAATCGAGATCGGCCAATTTTTTTTTTAACATTTTTATTTGAGGTTTTAATAATACAGTCAAACACTTGTTATACAGATTCATTGACTGGCCCTGGGTTCCGAGATTTTACCATTTTTATGCCTTACGGCGCTCCACTATATATAAGTGATAACTTCTGAAGCAAAATCAGACATATTGCTGATGTTGCAATGTCCATCCTCATCGTCAACAACGTCTTCAGTATCCTTATTGTCAGAAAATGGCGCCAATGTTGTCAGATTTATTTTGTCAATTGCTGACGTACAGCTCAAAATTAAAACGTTTTCTAGCGCCATACAGTTTCCACACAGGTTCCACTGTCAAAGTCTTTTAGCTCAATGTGTGCAATAAGTTTTTTATATATTGACATAAACTGACGAGCTGTGGGGTTATTATTACAACCACCGTGAGCTCTTATGTGACCAAAAGTGAGCTCTAAGTGGTCTTGTGAAAACTTATATGCAGGCAAATACTTTAGTTTTTTTCATTTTCTACAAACTTTATATAAATCTGTTTAAAACTTTCGATGCAAACTAAAAAACCGACAAATCCCATTTTTTTAGTAGATTTCACCATTTCTTGCCCGTCTATAAACTTTAATTTTTTTATATAAATTGCTACTGTGTCGAGAAATTCAAATATTAAATCTTTATTAGTAAAATTTTTAAAATACAATTGTTTCATATTTCGTGAGTTTAAAATGTCAAATAATTTATTAAAGTTTCTTAAAAAGGTTGATGTACCATTAACGTCGGTAAATTCCGGATGTTTTAACTGAGAGCAAAAGTCTAAAGCGGAAGCAACACTATCACTCATAAGTTGAGTCGCTAAACGTACTTTCATTTTTTGATTTTGGAAAAAAATGTGCCTACGCCTTAATTTATTAGCCAAATGTAAGTGTTCCTTTTCTTGCAATTTGTTAAGTTTTCACAAATTTGACCACTTGACTAAATTTTTCTTATCGTCTATAAATATCTTACTAGACTCAAATGAATTTCTCACTAACTTCATCATATGGCAAACGTCTAGAAAAATAAATACTGGATTTTTTGCTACCGGGTGACGAAAGTGTGTAACCATTTGTTCCAAATCAAATGAACAGCCTCTGTCTTATTACAAAATGCGGTTTAACAAAAAAACCTGGTTTAAACTTCTTTATACTGCGGTCTAAACAAATTTGGTATTACAAATCGTGGTTTTGCGATAAACTATAGACTATATCATGGTCTAACGCTAAACCTCGGCGACCCCTAGTTTAACGATGGTCTAAATCACTAAATCGGATTTGTCAAAGTTTGTGTTTTATGTTTGTTGAATTATTTGGGTGGTTCCCTATTGTGAAAAATAATAAACTCGTTTGTAATTACGACACGTATATTCAATCTCAAGAGGCAAGAGCGACACACACAAAAATATTCTTATATAGCCACAGACATAAAAATAAAATATAGAATAACAAAGTTAACTTATCTCTGGAACAATGCACACTTCTCTATGGATAAATATTTGTTGTCTTTTAACAATGTTATATCATCTTTTTCATTGTGTTGTGTTGTTTTAACTCGAAAATGGATATAAACATGGTCGTTTTAATTGATATTGAGGATATTGAAGCCGCTGAGATGTTGGAATTACCACGCCGACACAACAGATGTCGTGTTCGAGTCAATCCCATCATGGAATTATCCGATGAAGATTTTAGGCAAAAGGTTTAATAAACGTTATGCAATGAAAATAGTGGACTTAGTAAAAGAAGATTTAACTAGAGATGCTCGAGGATGCCCTGTGTCTCCCGAAATACAAGTGTGTTGCGCATTACGAAGCTAGGCTCGACATGAAGTAAGTAGATTAAAAGCATAGATTGCATTTACCAAAACATTGGTAGCAATAAAAACTAAATTATGTACAAACTACTTTTGGTTTCGGAGCGTTTTGAAAACTATTTATACTAACTTAAAATTAATTTGAGAAAAAAAATAAAACTAAATGTGAGACATGTAGCCGATTTGAGGCTCCTTTAATGTCTAAAATCATACTCGGCCGGCGGATGCCGGGTGGGCCGACCAGACGCTGAGTTTGCGTCTCTCTTATTCTAAGTAAATCTTAATCTAGAGCGGATGGACGAGGTGTAACCATAACTAACTAATATTTTGTTTTTGTTTATTTATTTACGGACAACCAACAAAAGATACATTTATTTACACTACAGCATACTTATAACCTAACAATCTAATCTATGTCTGGTAAATATTATTTTAATAACAGGTTAACACACTATGCAGTACACATCAAGTAATATAAATTATAAATAATAAAACAGTTAAATTAATTAGTTAAGTTAAAAAATATATAAAATTATTTTTTTTTGTTTTAATAGATCCAAGATGACACAGCTGATTTGCACGGAGTCTCACAACCTTTCATAAGCAAGATATGTAAAAATATTGCAGAAACCATTGCCCGAAAATCACATAGCTTTATAAAAATGCCTGCTACATTGAGAGAACAAGAGGAAGCAATGCAAAAATTTCGCAGAATTGCAAATTTTCCTACAGTAATTGGTGCAATTAACTGTACTCACATCAAAATAAAAAAGCCAAGTGAAAATGGTGGTCAACTATATATTAACCGAAAAGGATTTGCATCAATTAATGTTCAGGTATTATTGATTTTACATACATATTTTTCTTCCAAAATAAAGGAACAACGACTTTAGTCCACAGCCCCATCCCCGATGAGGCTTTGGTTATAGTGTTGGAAAATTGTTTAACCTACCCAAGGCTTCACTCACAGTGTCCATGTGTAATGTGATAAATTATTACAATAAATAATATCTACCTGCCTTGGCTTAACATGGAATATGGATGCAGTGGAAAAGTATAATTAGGATGTTTTGTGCATACCAAAAAAAACTTTTTTAAAATCTTCAAAACCACTAGGGTTTTGAAGGAGTGAGCAGACAAAAAGACATAAGTGGCCAGTGACTTTGTTCTATAATATGTACTGATAGTGAATACTTAGTCATGCTTATGTAAGTAAGAAATACTAAAATATGTAACTATTGTTCCAGGTAGTTTGCGATGCAGATTTAAAAATCATGGACATTGTTACTAGGTGGCGTGGGAGTGTTCATGACTCACGAATATTTAGAGAGAGTCGTTTGAAGCAGCGATTTGAGGCTGGTGCATTCTCAGGCATATTGCTAGGAGACAGTGGCTATGCTTGCACACCATATTTGTTTACTCCATTACTGCGTACTACAACACCTCAAGAGGAGCGGTACAATAATGCACACATTAGCACCAGAAACACAGTGGAAAGATGTTTTGGGTTGTGGAAGCAGAGGTTCCGCTGTTTATTAAGAGGCCTTTACTGCAACATTGAACTTCAACTGCTAAAACAACAATTGTAGCTTGTGCTGTATTGCACAATATTGCCATAGATATGAAGGAAGATGTGTTTCATAGTGGGTTTGATGACAATAAAGCTAACACACAAACATCTGCAGCAGTAGCTTTACCAGTGGAAAACAATGTACGTGGAAATATAAGAAGACGGCAATTCATTGAAAGACACTTTTAATTAAAATAATATATTTTAAATTTAAACCTTACATAATTCTAATTATTATAACATTTCTTTCAACCATAAGTAGTACTAGAGTTCTTCCTTTTTTTCTAATAATTTTATTTCAAGTTCCAGTTTTTTTAATTTTAATTCAGCAATTCTTACATTGTACTGGTGTTCCACTTCTAGCATATCTAATTGTTTTTTTTTAAATTGACAGTTGGACTTCAATATTGACTCTTGTAATGCTTCTTTTCTGTGAAATATTTACTCTTTATATTTTATACTAAGCAAATAATAAGAATATATTCTAGGATAATCTTTCTTACATGCTTTGAGGACCCTTTTTACCCGACTGCTTCCTACGAATATTGTCTTTTTTTCTAGGGGTACTAATTCCAACATTTACCATTGAGGTACCTAAAAGTATTTTAATTACATATAGACGAATTATATAAAAATTCTTTAGTTCATGTTATATATTTTTTGAAAATAAAAAATTTAAAGTATGGTTAAAATAAAGGAATACAATTTTAAAATTTATAGATGAATTATTATTTTTACCTTGGTCCATTATAACCTCTATTACCTCATCATTGAATTCAGGAGGTGGTTCTGTGGTTATAAGAGGTGGTTCTATTATAGGAGAAAAGCTTGTACTAGGCCCAGCTGTAATTTCACTATCTTGGGTGTTTAATTGAACCTACAAGTACTTAAAAACTGTTATTTAAAACTGTACATTAATTTTATTAGTATTTTATAAAAATATGTAAAGAACAATATGCTTACATCAGTTTTTATTGCATCACTGTTATAGTCATTGTATTCCACAATAAAATCGTGTGGAGCAATATCCATAATCGCCATATCTCCTTGAGAAGGCGACTTGGGCTTTTCACCACCCCCTGTCTTCATTTGGTGTTACCTATGAGCGGACAAGTTAGCTTTAGCCGCAAGCTTCATCTTTTTCCATGCCAATTTAACTTCACCATCAGACCTATTTTTTCCCATGAGTTCATTAATTCTGAAAATATTTCAATAACATGATAATTAATTCCGACACAGGAGTGGCTTATTGTTTATAACAGATTGCCATGTCGCAGAACTCAAAAGAAAAAAATATATGATAATTTGCATAGTTAACGGGTCACTTATTAATAAAAAAAAACTTAACACTTGTTTGCTATGTTCTTCCACTCTTGAGCCTTTTTAATATTGGAAGAAGCTCTCGTGGATTTGTCCTCAATTATGTGGCGTGATTGTGCAATCATCTCGCGTAGTATATCCTATAATATTTAAAATAAGGTAAGCTTAAAACCAATAAATTATAGATGGATTTCAAGTTCATGTAAGTAATGTATGTTTACTTACTTTTTCCTCGGCACTCCAATTCTCAGATCGCTTTTTCTTTTGTTGGTCCATCACGTTAAATTATTAAATTTAAGAAGAATACAAAGAGGCAATTGTTTTGTTCTATTAAGATTTAAATTCCAAAGCTAAATGAACTTTGTTCAACTTGCGATGGTTTTGTTTAATGTTATGGTTTCATATTACGCGCGAGAATGTTACGTTTCGATACACGTACTTGGATGTATTTTTAGAAATTAATACGACATTAAATAATGTGCTTAAACCTAAACAAAACTGCAATCGACGAAATAACTAAATAATGTTTATATCCATGCAAAATAACCAGGTTTCATAATTTTTAACACTCCTAAACATCATCTAATCATTAGCGTATTATCAAAACATTTTCTTATCTGGGCACACGGAACGTTGCAATAGAATGATATCATAGTGAACGAATGATATTTGTATTAATCTGTGGTTGACATTTATACAATGGTTCAAATGACGGTACTAAGAAGACCACGGTTTTTTTAAGTTTTGTAATACGAACAAATTTAGACCATGGTTCTACAGATTAGCCTGGACTTGATAGTACAGGTTTAAACTAAGGTTTATTTAGTTTTTTATAATAAGACCGCCTAGCTTTTTGGCCATGGCAATGTGAGCTGGACAGCCATCAAACGTCAAAGATATGATTTCCATTCCTGTGGTGTGAAGTAGCTCTAGACACTGCAAAACTAAATTTGATTTTTGCTCTCCAGATAACCTGTCTACAAGAAAATAGCCAACAGGGATTTTCCAGGATCCATTAATAGCCGTTACTAAAAGCACAAGCGCCTCTTTAGCAATCGTCATGTTTTCACAATTGTTATAATTATTACCCATATTTACGTATCCATACATGCGTTTACCATCCCACTCGACACGTTGCCGAATGGCCATCTCATCTAAAACTAAGTTTCCAATTAGGCCATATTTACTACCTTCAACCTTAGCTTTGATGGCAGAAAGAGATTCTGAAGTGAAGCCTGGTTCTGCATTAATAGACAGATACCATTTTTTTAATGTTCTAATATGAGGCAAACATGTGTTAAATTTTTGTCGCACAAACTCATAGGTTTTAGGCGAATAATAATGTAACGTCATAGCGAAACATCTTAAATTTGGCGAATATTTGGTACGCGTATTTTTACTGATTTCAATTTTTGATTGTACTTTCCTAACAAATCTTGCATTGTAATGTTCATATTTTCTAAGCACCACCCTTGCTCTCCCGTAATTAATCTATTATCTTCTAATTTTTTAATGAGGTCTCTCAGTTTCAAAATTTGTTTGCTATATCGTCTGGCTTTACATTACATTGTAAGCGTTTTATTTTTAACCGCTGGTCTGCAATGACGACGCGACTTCTAATAATTTCAGAGCGTAATTTTTTTTTCCTCGGAGTGTCAGTTTGCACAGAATCACTTATTGAGGGCGTCAATTGCTGGTTACCTGCGGACTAAAAAATACGAATTGCTTACCTACATGATATACTCTAATATTTTTCCCAAATGCGGCAAAGCCCCAAAGGTAGTATTTTTATTTTGTACTAGCAAAGCCCGCCCGCTTCGCTGGGCGTAAGTCAAAATATATTATACGGTTTTTATAATTTACAAACAAAATAAAAGTATCCCATGTTACTCTTTATAACAAAAGCTATCGGGGAGTGAAAATTCCGTCAAAATTTGTCCAGCCGTTTCATAGATTAGCTGGAACAAACAGACAGACAGGCGCACAGACAAAAAATTTAAAATAAAAGTATCCTAAGTTACTCCTAATAACATTAGCTACCTGCGAGTGAAAGTCCCGTCAAAATCGGTCCAGCCATGTCATAGATTACCCAGAACAAACAGACAGACTGTTAATTTGAAATTAAAAACAGACACTTCAATTTTATTTATATGTATAGATTACCGCGTGGAAAGTGAATATATCAAAAATCAATTACAAAATGAATAAAATAATATAAAATATCAATACCAATGTTTATGCTTACATCAACTATCTCTGGAAATTCACATTTAGACGTTGATGGCGTCACCGTCGGCTGCAAATTATCTGTTGCCTGAAATATTTGTTTATTAGTAAGTCCCGTTCTTATAAGCTTTTCTTGCCCAAAGTTAATAGGCCACAGGTATAATACATTTTTATTCTTACCGTAATCAGTCTCCATATCGTCCCCTTTCTGTGTAAACCTCGTAACTCCATTTTTTTCGAAATTGAGATTTTTAGCGAAAATCACTCCTTAGCACTCTTGTAACGTAAAACAAAACATGCAATGTTCATAATGTTGATAGAATTTTTTTTAGAGGCTTTTGATTTTTCTCGTATCTACATGTTCGAATTCAAAAACCTCGTATCTACCGTAAGTATCGCTGAAAAGTCTTATTACTGAATGTTTGTAAACATGTTCACACTTAAGTTGACTGTATTTTGTTGATTGACATTTATTTTTTATTCATATGAATACATATAAGTATTAAGTACCTGGGCGACCGAGCCTTGCTCGGAGTTTTTGGCCAAAAAAAAACAAACTAAGAATTTGAATAAATACAAAAAAAAAACAAAATCAAAACTTTGTGCCTGATATGAACCCAGACACCTGTGGTTGTCAAACTTGCGCATTGGCCGCTTGACCATGATGCTTATATCTGAGCATGCGAAATTATCGAACATAATATTTTGCGTGGAATTATTAATTTATTGAAATAATGCAAAACAAATCATAATAATAATTTATTTATTCATTTATTTATTATAAAGGCTTACTAACGAAATTTACATAAAAACATTTATTTAACATTATAATTTTACCTATTTGAATTGCAAAATTTAATTTAAAAGTATGCACAGCTTTTTATAAAAGTATTCCATTAAAATTTTATGTGGTTACGAGTATATAAGGAGCTATTTTAGTTGTACACAGGGGCGTAGCTACCGCCGTATTTGCCGTATCAATTATACGGGGCCCCCGGGCCACGGGGGCTCCCAAAGTGTGTAAGGAAAAAGAATAAAAACTTTCTAATTTATTTTATTTTACAAATGACAAAATTCTATAAAGCAATTCCTTTTTTTCCCGCCTTAAGCGTGCGTTCAAAAGTTGGCAACACTACATCGTTATGGCGGGCTGCGGGACTTCCCCGTTTTACTTACTTCATCTTCAACTCAGCGGGGAATCCCCGGGAATCCTTCATCGATATCGCGATGTACGTGTACGTTGTTGTACTTTGCATTGGATGTTAAACCACGGAGTGCAGTGCACTGTTTATTTACGCGCTTTATATAAATGTGCATTACATTGTAATTCAGTACAAACAATATTGTTCTTCTGGTTTAGCAGTATTAGTAACGATTTGTAAAAGAAATGAGTGAAAGGAAAAGAGATTATCCCAGCGGCGCTGAGAAAAGAAAAATTAAACAGAAAAGGGACGAGGTTATAAAAAAAGTGCCCAAAATTTCTTCATTTTTTCAGAGACAAGATACTGTGAGTGATTTAGATTGGAAAGGTAAGTACTACACTACTACCCAACCCATTTATTAGGGGCCCGTAGTGATAAACAAGGAAATCTTTTAATTTCGGTCTGTCCATCTGTCCGTCACAAAAAGTTGTCTCCCCCCTCGATTTTCACAATTATACTGTTTTTAGGGTTCCGTGCCTTGATTAAAAAAAACAAAATTCTAACTTATCTATAGGATCGATTTTTTTTGTTGTTTGTTTATCAGTCCGTATCGTATCGTTAATTGCGTGTTGAGAACTTCAGATGTGCAGACTCGCTTTCGGGTTCTCGTTTTGTATGGCCACTACACTACGCGCTGCGTTTAAATAGCACGCAGGTGTATAGTAATGCACGGACGGGCTGCAGGTGATTTTGTATCTACTAATAGGTACGAGCACAATCCGCGTAGAATCTGTGTGCGTCTGAACTGAACACTCTCTAACTGTGACCCTTAGTAACGTTATTTATTTATATATAACTCTTTTTAGTTTAGTATCAAAGCATTCGTATTTATTTTTTAACAATTACTCGTTTATTTTTAGATTCTTCTGAAGCATGTTCTTCGTCACATATCCATCCGGAAATAGAAGAAAGCCAAGCACATACTTTATCGGATGTCCATCCAGAAATCGAAGAACCCCAAGTCAACGATTCTGATATATCTGCAGATAATGCAGATTGTAATATAATTTCATCAGATAGAGGAAATTTTGGTGACAATTTAACTGAATGCGAACGAAAAATAATTTTTAAATTGGGTCCATTTAAACCACAAGGACCATTTCCAAAAGTTTCAGAAAATAACCGACCTTTTTCAGCTTATTATTATTCATATTTCAATCAGGCAGGCATAAAAATTATAAGACCATGGTTATGTTATTCTAACGTTTTAAACAAACCGTACTGTCACTTCTGTTGGTTATTAGCAGATCGTCAAAACAAATCGTACTCCTCTGCTTGGGTTAACGGTGTTTCGGTTAGAAGCAATTTCACACAAACTATTCTTGACCATGAAAAGTCACAGCAGCATATTAGTGCCTCACTCTCTTATAATAATTGGTTGCAAGGAAATACCATCGATACTCTATTGAAAAGTGAAATCGATAGTAAAATTACATTCTGGAGAGATGTACTGCATCGTATAATTAATGTTATAATTACTTAAGTATCTTGTAATCTACCTTTGAGGGGGCATGATTCTGATTCTGGCAATTTTATGGCAATTTCACGTCTGCTATCTAACTATGATGCAACTTTAAAAGAACTTTTTCTAAAACCGAAAGGTGAAATAAATTATTTAAGCCCTACGATTCAAAACGAAATTATTAGTTTGCTTGGTACTAACGTTAGGAACAGTATTATCTCAGAAATTAAAAAAGCTCCATTTCTGACAATAATTCTGGATACAACACAAGACTTGTCAAAAATTGACCAACTATCTGTAGTTTTTCGATATATCTCGGTTACAGAAAATGATGATAATGTGCCTAAAGAAATAAAAATCTGTGAGTCCTTTTTAGGATTCATAGCAGTAACCGATTGCAGTGCTGCAGGTCTGAAAACTGTCATTTTAAATTTGACTAAAGAATATGGAATTGATTTGACTAAATGTAGAGGACAGGGATACGATGGAGCAAATGTTATGTCGGGTGTGTATGGAGGATTGCAAACCCTAATAAAAGAGCATGCTCCAAATGCCGATTATGTTCATTGTGCTGCGCACGCTTTAAACTTGGTTTTGAACGATGCTGCGAGACATGTTCGTGAAGTATCGACTTTTTTCGATAATTTAGAAAAAATATATACTTTTTTTGGCAATAGTATAAAACGTTGGGCTATGCTAAGTGACGATTCATCTGAAAAATATTTGATTACCCTTAAAAAGGTATGTCCTACCAGATGGTCTTCTAGGAACGACGCTTTATTAGCAGTAAAGAAATTTTTTTTACTAATCATGAAAACTTTGTACCAACTAAATTTAATTTCGAATAAAAAAGATGAACGTGAAGAATGTAAAAGTATAATTAATATTTTAGAGAGTTTTGATTTCTTAGTGCTCGTTACATTTTTTTCTTCACTATTTGAAATTATTAATCCTGTTTCTAAAGCTCTACAGCATGATAATAATGACTTACAGAAATCTAGTATTTTATTAAGTAATCTTTTAAATAGACTGTGCCAATTAAGAAATCAGAATTCATTTAATAGTTTGCTAAATGAATCCAAAGATTTAGCAAAAAAGTGGGGGGTAACAACTGTTTTTAAAAACAGTAGGCGAAAGATAACGAAGCGTTTTTTTGATGAGTTATCACAAGATGTGAGAATTTCCGACCCGGAATCCTATTTCAAAGTCAATGTATACTATTGCTGTTTAGATATATTAATTTCTCAAACTAAAGAAAGATTTCAGAGCCTTTGCAACCTGAGTAGTATATTCGAAATATTACAACCGGAGAAACTCCTATCTTCTTCAAGCGAAGAGATATTAAACGCTTCCGGAAAACTGTCTGCTAAATACAGTAAAGACATCTCACTTAATCTTTGTGACCAATTAAAGGCTCTAAAAACATGCTTAAATTCTGAAATTAAAAAAATTTATTCCATTAAAGAACTCATTGAATTATTGCTAGTAAAATTCAATAGTCTTGCATCCAGTTTTCCCGAGGTAATCACAGCATGCTTTTTATTCTTGACCCTTCCAGTTACAACCGCAACGGCAGAAAGAAGTTTTTCAAAATTAAAACTAATAAAAAATTACTTAAGAACTTCGATGGGACAAGAACGGCTGTCAGACATCTCACTATTGTCCATAGAGGCAGAAACTTTAGAAAAACTAAAATCATCATCAGCCATAAATGATTTAATAAATCAGTTTGCCGATAAAAAGGCAAGGAGAGTGAATATTTAAAATTCGATTTTTATTTGTAAAATGGGTAAATTATGTGATAAATAAATATTACTTCTCACAATATTTTTTTTCTTTTGTGAAAAATCTTTACCTCCATATAAGGGCCTCCAAAAAAATTTTTATACGGGGCCCCGACAAGGCACGCTACGCCACTGGTTGTACAATAAAAAAATGTCTATATCACATTGCTGAAATTTAAAAATCTTTAATATTATTTGAAATTATATTGTATATATATAAATTATCATTAACAAACAAATAAATAAACAATGACAATAAATTAAATAATTCAATTGAGTAAATACTAAACATTTCACAATAATAAATATAAATAAAATTTCTTTCCATACATTAATTATGACAATAGTTATAAATTAGGTATTTAATTTCATATTTAAATGTATTTATTTAGTAAATGTCTTTTTCATGTATAGACCCCTCTCGGTTAACTCCAAAGTAGTCCTGCATAGAGCTCTCCGTTGGAGATTATGCTTGTATGATTGCAAAGGGTTTCTTTTCAAATTTTGTTTCCAATATATAATTTGTTTCTGATATGCCTATCAAGTTTATAATTTTATCTTTGTGTTCTTTTGATTTGTTGTAGGAAATACTGCATTTAATTCTAGAAGTTTTTCTGGTGCAGATATATATACCTTTGTTCATTGTATGTCTGTTTTTCTTTGAAGGGTTATGGTCGAACTCCCCTATGGTGACCGGCCATACTGGGGGATAAAGATGAGGAGGTTCCTACTGTGTTTAATAAATTGTATCTTGCAGTGTTGTTTTTAGTTGTTCCTGGTTATCATTTGTGTGGTTGTAAGTTAATTTTGGTTTTTGTAATATAAAGTCTTTAATATTACCAGGTATGGTTTTCTTTGTATGTTGTTTATTTGTTAGTTTTTGTTTATAATTGAGGTAAGGCGTTTCTGGAGATACAGGCAGACTTCATTTATTTGAGTATTGGTGAGAAGTGTTCTTATTATTATCCACAATAATTAGTTTGTCATATTTAAAGAAAGCTGTTTTGCCTAGGCCTTTTATTTTATCTTCAGTTGGGTTTGTAACTCCTTGCGTTTTTTTAAGACTATTTTTTCCTCTAGTTCATGATAGGATTTTTCACCTTCTTCTACTTTGAACATAACCAAGTTCTTGCGCCTAATATGTCCTTCTAAATTATTTATTGAGGTACTTTGTTCCTGGATTTTTTTCTCAAGAACTTCAATTTTTATTTCTAAGTGTTTAAATCTCTCATTTAAGTATATTATTGTTGATTGTATTTTTAATGTCTTCTTTCATTTCTAACATTTCTGTTTTCTGCTGTCTTATTTCTTGTTGCATGTTTATTAGCAATTTTTTTGTCCTCCATCTTAAGTGAGAAGTCAGAAGTAGAAAAGCTGATTGAAAAAGAGCACCAATTACCTATACCTAGTTGAATTGCAATTTTATACCGAGTATTAGTTTTTGAGGTTATAAACTTATGTTTTAATATTTTACGCTTTCACTTCACAAATTTATTTTGTTTTATTGTCATCACACACGGAAAAGATGGTTTTGCACTGATAGTATCTATATGTTATGTTTGTCACTTTTGTATTTGTTTGGTAGGTGAATTTTTAAAAGCTCATTTGTTCTTTAACACATCAAGACTTGGTGATGTTTACATATTGCCCATAGTAGTAGGGGAGCCCACGATGCTAAATGGGGATTTACTCGAGCGTCGTAGAGACCTATTGGGATGCAAAGCTTAGATGATAAGAAGGAAAAAATGTTATATGATATATACCTTTACATCGGTGGGGGAAGCGGCTATAGATTTTTAAATATGTAAAAAAAAACTGTTGCATAGACATCCTTGAGCGCGTCAGATATTGATAGCATCAATGCCCTACGTATTTTTAATAATGTACGTATGTTAATCTGATCGTTTGCATGATGCGGGTGGTTGTATTTAAGGGTTGAAAATGAAAAAAAAAAAATTAATCGAGCGCGTCAGATTTTCTAAGGTAGTGTTAAGTGCACCAAAAAAAGCTCTCATTCACTAATCTGACGATTTCGATGGGACGCAAACTCGCGGCCATTTTCATAATGTGCAAAAAAAAATCGCCATTTTGAAATACTCAAGCGCGTCAGATTAAGATATATATGGTTCATCTTTATGTTCTAAACGTACTGTCTCATAATCTGACGATTATCTAGAGGGATTCGCCTGATCTGACAAAAAAAATTTATAAAAACGGTTCACCTTAAAGGCCATACCTGCAACTTCCCGCTAATTCCATTCCTGGGCGCTTAAAATATAATTTATGTGATATTTTGAGCTCGCTGAGTTCAAAGAAATAATATTTCTATGCATTTGAGCTCTCCCAGCTCGAAAGTCTGATAGAAGTTTCATTGAACACTATTTTTGGAATTTTCAAACCGCAATAACTTTTGAATAGATCAAGCAATTTTCACGCGGTTGACGCCATTCGACGCAGTTTTATCATCCTCATAAGTTATTTTCAGGTTTTAATTGATCGAACCAAAAATTTCGGAGTAATCCCGAAAAAACACTTTTTTCGGTTTTCTTTCGTTCACGATATCTCTCGAACGAATCAATCGATTTTGACCGGATTAGCGACGATCGGCGTGGTTTTTCTAGCTTAAGGGCGGATTAGTTTTTGAAGTTAATTGATAAAGCCGGTTAAAAGTTATTCCAAAAAAACCACTTTAAAAAAAAACTTATTTTTTTTTGAGGTTTTTCAAAATTTCTCAAAATCTATCGGTCCGAATCGGTTCAAATTCACAGGAAATCTAATTTTGAGGGAAATCTTTAGAACGCCTTTTAGTAGATTCCGATCGGCTTAGTCGTTGAAAAGATATAAGCGAGTCACACATACACACACACATACATACATACAGACTTAGTGACAACATCATACACGGGGGTAGTCACGGGGGTTCTACCGTAAATTTAATTGTTTTTTGTAAGGTACTTTCACCACAAAATACACATTTCAAATTAATGTCACTCATATTAAATATTTATAAACTTTAATTCACACAAATAATATTAAAATAGCAAAAAAAGCCAAAACGTTGGAAACACGTTGTAAACAGTATGCCACGAACGAGTCTTTATGATCAGCTGTGATGGCGTCATGGCGGCAGAAACCAGAGTGGGGACGGAGTGAGAGAGTAATAGATAGGGAAAGAGTGTGAGAGGAATATACACGCGGAGAAGAAAATGTAGGCATGACGCAGCTGCACGCATTTAACTTTATCGACGAATTTTTGTTATGTCGGCTTGCGGAAATCGTCAGATTATATATTTTTCATTATTCTTGAATTATTTAAAAAAAATTTAGCTACGCTCGAGAATGTCGAGATGACGTTTTTTTTACAACTTTGTTGCCCTCCCCTTTTTTTACGTCACTCTCAAATTGTCAGATTAGTGGAATATACACTTTTTAGGATGTCATTAACTCACCCTACCTTAATCTGACGCGCTCGAGAATTTCTGATGGTCAATTTTTTTTTACTAATCTGATCCTGTATCCTTCACGGGCGGCCTTATATATGGGCCTCATGTTTTGTGGAGGTACTTAACCGGGTACAAGGTATCCCCCTGTATATTAATCTGCCGCGCTTTAGTAAATCCCGAAATCCCCGCTTGGGCTCCCCTACTATAGGTTTTATAATTTATTTTTAACACTTTTCTTTAGATTATTTCCACTATAATATTTTTAAACTTGATATAAATACGGACACGATGTAGTGTAGACAGTTGCACAGTGGTGCCTCCCACCCACCAGAAGTAACAACTGATAACTGACAATGCAAAAATTGTGAAAATGCAAAAGAAAATCGCATGAAAATTCGAAAACTCGCGTTTTTCCAGATATAAGACTAATCTAGATCGATTTATCTCCCCCGAAACACCTTGTATGCTAAATTTCATGAAAATCGTTGGAGCCGTTTCCGAGATTCAGATTATATATTGAGATATATATATATATATATACATATATATATATATATATACAATATATATATGATATATATATATATAAATATAATATATATAATATATAATATATATAAATATAAATATATATATATATAATAGATATATATATATATATATATGTATATATATATACAAGAATAGCTCGTTTAAATATATAACATATAAAGCATAAGTAAGTATTATTTATTTAAATACTTAATATTTCTTTTTTAAATAAAAATCATTTATTGAATTTTTATATCACATCAAGTAAATAAGAAATAAAATATTTTCAATTATGTTTTCATTGAAGCTTATACTTTAACCTCCAAATGAGACATTTTCTATTATTAAATAGTTAATTTTTTACAGATATCAATATGTCAATAAAGGAATCTGAAACGTGATGAAAATGGATTATCAGTAAAATCGGTAAAAAAATAAATAAATGTTATTCACAACTTTCTTTTTTTTGAAGTCAGAGTGAAATTTAAACGTTTTCAGTAATAATTAATTATTTATTGTTTTTTTTATAGGTGTCGATTTTATCAGAGTCAAAAGATTCTGTTTTGCAACTAATTGACGATAGTGTTAATCCATCAAATAATGGTACGAATAGTTGTAGTGGTGAAAATATGTTACTTGATGAGACTACTGGTCTCTTCGTACTTCGACAATCAAATTTAACAGTTGAAGAAAACACTGTACAAGATTATTCGAATTATATTTTAGATGAAAAATCTGGATTATTTGTTGAGTGCAGCAACGAAATTGATCGTCTTTCTGAAAAATATAGCAGTTTTTCCTTGAGTTCCACTCAATGTTCACGAGAAATCAGTTCCTTCAGTTCATCTGATTCTAATTTCATAAGTAAGAAATTAGATGAAACTTCTGGGAATTGAAAGAAAAAGAAGAAAGAAAAGACAAGGAAAACAGGAAAAGTGGGCAGCAAATAAAGTGAAACGAGCTCGACAGAATGGAAAGTCATACCATAGTCAACAAAATGTAAAGAATAAAATAGTAGGATTAAAGAAAAGAGAGAAACGTCGGCTTAAGCCTCCATGTGATTCTAAAATGTGTAAGAAGAGTCAGCTTTTTCAATGCAACCTTATTAATAAGGCACAAAGATAAGAAATTTTTAATTCCTTTTGGAAAAACTTAGATTGGAAAGAACGTAAAACAATGATAATTAATCTTGTGGAAAAATCTTCTGTAGCTCGTCGTACACAAAATAGTAACAAGTCTCGGCGTAGTTCATCGATAAAATATTATTTAAAAATTAATAGCCAGAATGTGCGAGTGTGCAAAAAAATGTTTTTAAATACTTTCAATTTAGGTGAATGGACTGTACTCAACTGGATAGACAAAAATAATGGATTCGGTATTGCACAAAAAAGAACATTGACTAAGAAGGTTTCCAAAATTGACATAAAAAAATTGAGCATGTCAAGACATTTTTACTTAACTTACCGAAAAAGGAATCTCATTATTGCCGCCAAAAAACTGACAAAGAATATCTTGATTTAATTTATACGTCATTCAAGGATGTTTATAAAAATATTACGCAATGTATCAGCGATAATGATATACCATCTAATGAAAAAGCTTCATATTTAACTTTTTTAAAGATAACTCATTCATTAAATATTGGATTATATAAACCTAAGAAAGATCAATGCGACCTTTGTTTTAGTTTTAAAAATAACAATACTACTCGAGAGATTTATGATTCTCATATTGAGAATAAAAATAAAGCTAGAAAAGAAAAAGAAGACGATAAAAAAAGACCTGAACGTAATTAAATTAATGCATATACCTTAGAAGTTCAAGCTGTTCAACTTGTCCCATTTATAGGAACTGGAGCATCTTACTTCAAACTAAAGCTTGCTGTTCATAAATTCACTATTTATAATTTAAAGAATTCCGAAGTCTACTGCTACGTATGGCATGAAGGTGAAGGAGGGATGGAGTCCAATGTTTTTGCCTCATGTATTTCTAACTTTTTAGAGAGCTATGTTGATTTGAAAATTCCTACTGTACTTTTTACCGACGGTTGCTGTGCTCAAAATCGTAATGTTAATGTAGCTAATTTGTTGCAATTAACAGCGGTAAAATTTGAGACAACTATTTATCAGAAATATTTAACTGTTGGTCATACACAAATGGAGTGCGACTCTGTTCATTCATCTATTGAAAGAAAAAAGAAAAACAAGGAACTCTACGTGCCAGCAGATTTTGTTCGCATCATCAAAGAAGCTAGAATGAATCCAGAGTCATATAAAGTTATTTATGTTGATCACACATTTTTTAAGGATTTTTCTAAAATAAATTTTTACAAATCGATAAGATCCGGTTCAAAAACAGGAGATCCACAAGTTACTGATTTCAAATGTCTTAAATACGATTCAACTGGGCTGTATTATAAACTCGATTACCAGAACGATTGGACCTTATTACCTCAAAAAAAATCAAGAATAAATGTAAATCGAAAAAATATTATCACTCCGTTATATAAAAAACCGATTTCTATTACATCAAGAAAATTCAAAGATTTGGAAAGTTTGAAAAATTTCTATGATCAATTAAAAGTTGAATCTACTGTAGAAGACTAAAAAATAAGTTTAAAAAATTGTAAAATTGATCCTTACTTCTTAGTTCTAGTTATTGTTCAAGTTATTTCTTATTACTTATTTTTCAGATTATCCTGCTGTTAATTTGTACACTATTCAATAAATTGTAAACATATTTGAAAAAAATAATTAAATCATATTATAAATAGTAATCATATGATTTATAACACATTAAATCAAAATCAAATGAATTTGTTTTAATTAATAAATATAAAATAATAATGAATTGAATGTGAAAGCCTTGCATAACAAAAATTTTCGCCAATGATCTTATAAAAAAAATAATAATTTCAAAACCTCGTATCTGCAAAAAAGTTACCAGGGTATTTGATGAAAAAACTCGTATCTACGTTAAATTGATAATAAAAACAAGGTATCGATGCATGTTATGGAGTGGCCGGCGAGATCACCAGATATGAACCCAATAGAGCACGTTTGGGACTTGCTAAAAAGAAAAGTTAAGTCCAGAATTCCAGCTCCTGCCAACGTGGGTGAACTGCGAATCGCCGTAGTTGAGGAATGGCGGAGACTATACCAGGAGACCATCGATAACATCATTCTCAGTATGCCTAGACGGGTAGAAACTTTAATAATAGCACGTGGTGGAAATACGCGATATTAATTACCATTTTTCTCATTCATTCTCATTCTAAGTAAAACAAATGAAACTTTAAATAACAAAAGAAGTGTAGTAAGTAGATTTTAAAATAAAACCATATTTTTTTAGTAATGGACCTTTTTTTGTGTTCCGCTAAATATGCCGGCGAGTTTAGAAAGAAATGCTGATACAAGTACGGCAAAGGGTTTATTGAAAGAAAAGAATGTAAGTTGACACTAAGTTTATTAGACATGAATCATCATACCATATCTTTTAGTACAGTAAAATTTCATGCAGTGCCACTACTGTAATAATAATAGTAACCCGATGAAGTCTAACTTTTGTTTATTACTAATAATTAAAATATGTGATAGTAATTATGGTATTTTTTGTTATCAGGACAATGATAATGATACCTGGAAGTCATGGACTCCAAAAAATCTAAACACACCAGTATCAAGTAAACTGAAAGTAACCAGAAAAAATGAAGAAGACTGCTTAAAAAGAAGAAGACCTAAAATTGATTGCTCGAGTGATGAATTGGTAAACGAAAAGATTAAATTAGTAAAAATGTTACAAAAAAATGCTGAGAAGGAATCCCAAATTAGATTAGACATTTTGAAACAACAATTAAAGCAAGAAGAAATAAAGACCCAAAAACTTATGGATTTAGTTATTTTTTTAGGTGTTATATCTACATGTATATTGTATTTGTAATGTTCAGGGATAAGGATAAAAAATTTTTATTTGTTGGTATTATATAACAAGACTTTGGTAATATTTTGATATTAATGATCTCCTGCTGGGATTTAAATCTCTAACATTATTATCTACAGAACGCTGTATTCTTCCCTGATGTAATATTTCTTCCCATGGTGCTGGCAAGTCTAGACCAGGTCGTTAAAGGCATTTGATCTCCTCTCATTTGTAGGATGTTGTGTAATACACCAGTAGGTACTATAATAGGTGGCGCATTTTTCAAGTTTACCCTAATTCCTAGGGCTCACACTGGGAAGCGCCTTTTCCAAACCCCAAATAACCTCTCAACTGGGTTGCGTGTCCTGATTTGGAATTCATTATATAAAGATTCTGCTGATGTAGAAACTATCTAATGGCATCATCAAATAATTTCTATTCATGTACCCACTGTCTGCAACAAGTACTGAATCAACATGAATTCCCAATTCAAATATGGCATGTCTTCTAGATGCACTGAATATCCGTTCATCATGAGTACTTCCTGGCCACCTAACAACTAGGTCTGTTAATAACAATTGGGCATTACAAATAGCTTGCACATTAATTGACATATAGCCTTTTCTATTCCTGATGGTTTCTGCATGGCTTCCTATTGGTGATATTATCTTTATATGAGTGCAATCCACCTATAACTTTTGGAAATCTGGCTATATTGTAAAAGTCTAGTTGGGTTTTTCTAATATCTGCGTCAGTCTGCGGAAACTTGATGTAATCATGACTCAGGGAGGCTATTGCTGCAGTTACTCGGTGGATGACACGATTAGCTGTTGGTCGAATGACTCCAGAAAAATCACCCACGGTCAGTTGATGACATCCAGTTGCATATAGGGATTGCAATCCGGAAAAACGGATCCGGCATCATTTAATGGTTACCGGATCCGGTACCAATATACCGGATCCGGTACCAATATACCGGATCCGAAGACCGGATCCGGTTATAGCAGTTTGTGGGAAAGTAATATAGCTGTTGCATGAGTAGGTACTTTAAATGTGTTGTGCGTAGTGTTCATGCGTGCGAGTCGTTCGTCGCCGAGTCGCCCCACTACGCTTCGCCAGTACCACCCCGCTCACTCCCCCGTATCCGCGTCGCGCCACCGCCAGCCAGACAGTCATTTGCGTCGCGAGTCGCGCGAGGAAATAAATGTGTTTTGTTTTGTCGCTGCTTCATCAAAATGTAAGTAAATATATATTGATCTTATTATAAAAAACATAATATCATATTGTTCTTGTATTTACGGAAGCGATTGTATCTGTTGAAAAGTGTTTTATTTAAATAGAATAGACATTGTTTTTGCTTAATCGATAAATGAATCTTGATCACTTATGAGTGTAGGAATTATAAAAAAGATTATAAAATAAATAGTGCTGGATAGTTCACACAAATTGTCTGAATTATTCAACTTCAGAACGAGTTATTACGAGTTGAGTTACATTAATTTATTTTGTTTGTTACAGGTATTACTCGTAGCGTAGTTTACTTTATATTAGTATATCCAAGCTATAAAAAGTTTCATAACATGTCACTTACCAAACCAATTCAAAATGAGGAGAATTATGATGGAGAGAGTGAGAAAACTATATGGCATTACTTTGAAAAAATGCAAGAAGACAATTCTGTAAACGCAAAGTGCACATTGTGCTCTAACATATTAAAAATAAGTAAAGGTTCTTACAAAGGTTTAAAAACACATTTGAGAACAAAGCATTGCATTTGCATTGATCAAAGTTCTGAAAGTATCCAAATAAAACGTCCGTATTCTGTTTCATTCTCTAAACCATCTACATCAAAAACCGATTCAGCTAATATTAATTATGAGTAAGGAAATACCCAAGAAAAAGTCTAAAACAATTGACAGTTATTTTAAAAAAGAAAATTCAATGGAAAAGATGATATCTAGAATGGTCTGTAAAAATGTTGTGCCTCTCAGTTTATTTTGTACATCGCCTGATTTGAGATATTCATTTTCAAAAAGTGGATTTCAACTGCCTCATTCACCAAATACTGTAAGATCAATAGTTACAAATTTCGCAAATACCGTTCAATCAGATTTTATAATTGAGTTCGAATATCTAAAGAATCAAGGAAAAAGATTCTCTTTGAGTTTTGACGAATGGACTTCCCAAAAAAATCACCGATATTTGAACCTAAATTTACACCAAAAAGAAAAACACTTTAATCTGGGCTTGATTAGAATTCATGGTTCATGTACTGCGGTACATACAATCAGTTTAATAAAACACCGCTTAAAAAGCTTCGGTCTTGATGCTGATACTGATATTATTGGCATGAGTACTGACGGCGCAAGTGTCATGGTCAAAGTAGGTAAGCTTATGAATTGCTATCAACAACTTTGCTTTGCACATGGGTTACGGTTTGAAGTACCAATATAATATCTTGGATTATTCTTAATTAATCTTACAGTATTTTCAATTGAAATTTTGCATAGATTTTCTGCTTCAATTTTCTTTTTTATTTGGGCTAATTCAGACTGAGTCTCTTGATCACTGCTACTTGATGTCATTATAACCAAGGACTGAACAGACGGTGAAGTCTCAGTTTTTGACAGTGAATGTTTTACGGGTGTTGAACTATTGGAAGATGACATTTCTAGCTTCTCACTAGTGAATAATAATTTCCTCTTAATTTTAGTATTCATAAATCTTGCTGATGGAACTCCAGACATTGTAACTTTAAAAGGTGATGTTGCAATAGATGTGGTATTGGTCTTTAAAGGAGAAGTATTTTTATACTTAATTTGACTAGTGGTTTGTATAGCTTTGCTCCTAATTGTTGCTTTTAAACACACTTGAACTAATTTATTAGTTGCTTCAGAGCATACTTGTGTTGCTTTATCTTTAAAATTAGTAAAGCATTCATCCTTCACAGTAGCAGACTGAAAATCTGAAACAATCAATATATTATTAATGGCATACTTAATTACTCTAGTAGATGAAAAAGGCACTGCAAAGATGAACACTTATATAGGTTAATGTTCATCTATAGTTAAACCATTTAAACTGAAAAGTATTTTTTTTTACATTACATTAGTCAGGCTGTGAGCAGAAGGATGATCTGAAATTCATATCGTTTGACTGTCAAAAAAATCTGCCCATTCCAAAGTTACCGGACCAAATTTGTTACTACAGCCGTCAACTTTACTTTTATAACTTTACAATGGTAGAAGGATCTTCTAATCAGCCAATGACAAAGGATAACGTATTTTCATATTGTTGCACAGGAGCTGAATTCCATAAAGATTCCAATTTAATTTCCCCGGCTATTTACCACAGACTTAATGTAACAGACAAAACTGGAACCAAAACAATACGCCTAGTAGCTGATGGTTGTGGCGGACAAAACAAAAATTCTGTCATTGCAGCATGCTCTAATTGGCTTTTTATCTTGTTCAGCTATTAAAAACATTGAAATTGTTTTTCCGGTCACAGGGCACTCATACATGCTACCAGATCGCGCATTTGGCGTAATCGAAAAAAAATTATTTTACACCCAGACGAGGTAAAAGAGATCATATCTCAAACTTCTACAATTTTACAGTTTGGAGATGATTGTCCTGTATATGATTGGAGAGAAGCAGCTCGAAAAATACTAGCGCCGACTACATCATGGAATGTTAGATTTAAAGAGTGTAAAAGATTTATTTTGACCCGATCTAAAAAACCGGGTAACATATTTGTGCGAGGTGAAACTTTGTATAAAAGCGACATTGGTACTGCTATTAATATTTGCAAACGACAGAAAGTTATCTCAATGCTTAATCCCAATCAAATAAACAAAACTGTTGCGCTTAATAAAAACAAACTTAAAGATATTAATAACCTTCTAAATAAACATTTTGGCAGGAACTGGCAGGAAATACTCACTCTCGAATATTACAAGAATTTGATAATAAACCAGGAGTCCCTAACCTTTACCTGTCCTCCTGAGGGCGAATACTGCCATAAACCACTCGAGGAAGTAAGGGACTTGCGAATTTAAGTAAGGCATTAAATAATTTGTTTCTGTTTAATTAAGCCATTTTTTATTTTTATTGTGATTAGTTTTTAAATTTTAAAAAATGTAACTTAGGGAAAGTATGTAATTTTTTTATATTTTTTCTCATTTTTATGGTAATTTAATATTTTATTAGTATTTAGGAAATAATGACTGACTCATTAGTTAAGACTTTAGTAAAGACTGATTGTAAGATGAGTGATTGTTGTTAGATACGTAATAAATGTTATTATTAAAAAAAATGTATCATTGTCATTTAGTACAACCCTAATTCTGCATTAAATTATGTAGAATCAAAAGAGGTAATCTTCGTAAGGTGTGGTGTCAAATGCGGCCACCTCTATTACACTAGCGGCACGCTATGATGGCCGGTTTGACGTTTGTCCGCTCATGAAGTTCCGTATTAATTGATAACGACTTTGAAGGAAATAATTGTATTACTTTATTGACGATAGTGATGTGCAGAGATTCATAAATTTTATCGAATGTAGTTTTAGGTTTAGGACTCAAAATTTATTTATTAAATTGATTTCTTAAATGTATACAAGTGTAGAAAAATCAGTTTGCACCATTTAAGGGGTGAATGTACTTGTGAATATGAACAATTTTCACTATGTGGAAAAACCTCTGAAATCGCAAAAAAATATCAATAAATTTTTAAAAATGGAATCTAATACGATCGTCACATAGGATCGCTGGCTAGCACAACTACTACCTCCGGCAAACTCGCTTCAATGCTCAATGCAAAACAAAGCAGTTTCGAATTGACGTTGCTTCGAAAAGTATAAACTGTCAGTGCAATGCGATTGTGATATAGTTTTGACCTGGCTTTGGATTTCAAATATTGATACTGCATTACTGTTGACCCTTGCTCGTTAATTTGGACTCTGTTCAAGCCCTTTGTTGTGGATTTCGTCGATATGACCGAACGTACGCAGAGAACTGTTCTAAATAGTCAGACACGTGAGTTCGTAATACGCCTTCGTAACTATTTCGATCGTGAAGCTCAAAATGGAGGGCCAATTTTACCTATAACGTCAGTGGTTGAACGCGTAGCTGATGCGCTTAATATTGGACAACGAACTGTTAGACGGATAACTAAAAAAAAATATGGCGAGACTGGCACAGAAGAAAATAAACTTCACACACCAAAAAAGAGAAAACGAGCAAAACCAGTCGTAGGCATCGATAGCTTTGATGCCGATGCTATCCGAAGACATGTTTACGGCTACTATTTACAGAAGGAGTATCCAACAAGAAAAAAGTTGGTGCATTCACTGAAGGAAGCTGGATTATTCTTCGGTGGGGAAAGTTCTTTAACGAAGATTTTGAAGACCATTGGATTTCGATACAAAAAATGTAACAAACGCAAAATATTGATGGAAAGATTTGATATAGCGATGGCAAGGTATACTTTTTTACGGCAAGTGAAAGAAATCAAAAATTGGCAAAATGTTGTGTTCTTGGATGAAACATGGCTTAATGCTAACCATACTGTAGGCCGTTCTTGGAACGATGACACAGCAGCATCTACTTCCAAAGTTCCTGTAGGAAAAGGATCGCGACTTATAATTTGTCACGCCGGAACCATCAACGGGTTTGTCGAAGGTTCTCTCATGGCTTTTGCGTCAAAAACCACTGGAGACTATCATGAAGACATGAATGGAGAAAAGTTTACTGAATGGTTTACCTCAATGTTGTGTAGCCTCCCTGAACCATCTATTATAATTATGGACAACGCCCCATACCACTCGATGCAAATTGACAAGCCACCTGCCCAATCCCAAAAGAAAGCTGATATCGTCGCATGGCTTCGTAAAAATGGCGTAGATGCAAACATGAATATGTTAAAAGCGGAATTAGTACGTCTTTTAAAAGAAAACAAACCAACCAAGATCCGATACGTCATTGACGAAATAGCATTAGAACATGGGCACAGAGTTATACGGTTACCGCCTTACCATTGTGAGTATAATGCGATTGAGTTGGTGTGGGCTCAAATTAAGGGATATGCTGCAAGACACAATACAGAACCCCCATTTACCACAAAAAAAATGCTAAAATTATTAGAAGAAGCTTGTGAACATGTGACTAAAGGAGACTGGGAAAAGGTTGTGAATAGAACTGTTAAATTAATAAGGGAAGATTATGAAAGAGATGTGAAAATAGATAATATTATAGAAAACGAACATATAATTATTAATGTATGTGATGATAGCAGTGACGACAGTGAAAATAGTAGTATGGACGAATCTGATTAATTATGGCCTTTTGTGGCACCTTTTTTGGTATCTTTTGTATTCATATGTTTCTTGTGTGCATATAAAGTATGTATATTCATTTTCGTTCAAATATTCAGTTCGTTCAAATAAATTAAATAAACATATACATTTTTGTTTTATTAAACCTATTTAATCAGGTACAAAAACAAAACTTAATTGTTTTTTGTTCGAGAATAAATTGACATTCCACATCACTATTGTAATGTGTCAAACCGGCCATCATAGCGTGCCGCTAGTATAAACACGGAATCACATTCGGCAATCTTCAAATGTTAGTATCAAAGGTGGATATATTAATATTTGATTTTAAAATAGGTACGCTATAATAAGCATTTTTACGTTTGGATTTCCAACGTACGGGTGAAAACAAGTTTTATAATGTATAACAGCAATGAATATTCTACCGACTTCGGTCAACCTTCGGGTTCATGGAGAACTTTTAACAACAGCAGCAGCAGAGGAAGAGGCTTTAATAGCCAACGTGGTCAAAGACCACTTTTACAACAGATGCAACAGCCACCAAAGCAAAAGAGCATGAGAAAACAACGTTCTGATAACAGAATGGAAAAATTCAGACACTCTAAGTCAACTATTAATGCTGACGCTTACCAGGAAGAGCTAAAGAAGACCTAACTCGCTGGTACGTCTGGAGTTGACGATGCATTGGCACGGCTTGGAGAAGCTCAACAGCTTCGTGCTATTACATTGAGCATTACAACACGGGCTATTGGTTTTGGCATTTGCCAAACCATGCTCCCCCCCCCCAACGTGCGTTCACCTTGTCGTGGTGGGGGGCTCAGTAGTAGTAGCGAAGCTAAGAAACGCACAGGGAGGTTGCCCACTTCGGTGGGCGGTGGGAGGTGGCCCTCTTCGGGGGGCGGTGTACCTTGCGGGTTGCTCCTGGTACTTCTCTGATAGCAGAGTGGACCTTGGAGCAACCTCATGGTTGTGGTGGTCTGCTTCGGCAGACCTGCCGTCGGGGCGTCGTAGTTGAATGCGTAAGCGATCTTGCGACGCCCCATTAAGACGGGGGAAGGTTTTGTTGGGTTTTAGTGGGTAGTACTGGCTGTATTATGCCGGTGAGTCCCACACGTCGTGCGTAAATGCATTTCCCAACGTTAAAAAAAAAAGGTACGCTATAATAAAAGTAAAAGTATTATTTATGTTTGAAAGTATCCTAAATCTTTAGTACTTACTATAATAATGGCCAGTAATACAATATGACTACTTTGTGCTCTACAAAACGTTTTTTTCATTTACCCAAAAATGACTGAAAATGAGATAGCCGCCATTGATTCTATTACTTCTGATTACGACTCATATTTTAATTTCAACTGATAACAATGGTTAAATTTTAAGTATAAATTACTTATATAATACTATTATTATTTATTTACAGACCTTATTTTATAGACGTCTTTGTTAAAATGAAAATCAATATCAAAATGAACTTTTGTTGAAATAATTGATCCAATTCGTCGACACTATAGAGAACGGACAAGTTTTAACTTTTTAAAATTTTAACTTCGTAAATATTTATCTAATTTATATAAATATGAGTAGATAGTTATGGTTACACCTCGTCCATCCGCTTTAGATTAAGATTTACATAGAATAAGAGAGACGCAAACTCAGCGTCTAGTCGGCCCACCCGGCATCCGCCGGCCGAGTATGTATTTAGACATTAAAGGAGCCTCAAATCGGCTACATGTGTCTCATTTAGTTTTTTTTTTTTTTTTATTTAGTTTTAAGTTAATATAAATAGTTTTCGAAACGCTCCGAAACCAAAAGTAGATTAATTCATACATGTTTATTTGTTTCCAAACAATAGTTAAAATTTGTTGACTAGTGTTGTCAAAGGATAACTAATTCTCAAAGAAACAGGAATGCTTCTATAAACAATGTTTAAGTATAGGAATAGATTTACCTATAATTTACGTCGTGGGTTGACTGTACTCGGTCTTCTGTTGAACTGATAGACTGAGTACTGTTTACCGTTCTTGTATATGGACAGTCGAACTCAACACACGAGGATCCAATTTTTTTTTTGTTGACGCTGGGGAAACCCATCATGGGGCCGCCGTCTTAACGGACAAGTTACTGTGAGACTCCTACTCACTAAAACCCACAGCGGAACCCGTCCCCGCAGTGCAATGGGGCGTTGCAAGATCGCTTGCGCATTCACTACAACGCCCCTAAACACACAAGGATCCTATGCAGCAACCCTAGCCCACCGTATTTGTCGGCGTTAATTCACTAGGCTCCCGATGCCACACCAAATTATACTTATATTTAACGTATAAAAAACGTCCATGGTATATTAGATGATGATCAAGATTGGAACGCTACAAATATGTCTCAGTCGATTTTGTTACCCCAAAGTAAGCCAAAAAAAGAGATTAAAAAAGATGTAGCATGCAACGATTGCAAGATTGTCACCGACAATATTATAGAAAAGAAGATCTAGACGGAATGTCCTTTTTGGTCAGTTAGTGACCGAAGAGTTGAACTAAATAAAACCCTGTCTTCGTACCCGCACTTATGATTTTTTTTTAGCATTTCTGAATGATGGTAAGGGTTCGCACTCGAGTGAAATAAAATACGATACTCAAATCGAATAACTATTATATTTATTGATTGTGCATTATTTTAACAGACATTTAAAAGTACAAAAACAATTATAATAAGTGCGATTGTGACCAATTAACAAAGTGTATTACAATGTATCTAATTAAAGAATATTCAAAACAAAATAAACATAAACAATAAAGATCTGTGTGTTTTTATAAAATTAAATTTAAAATGAGATATTAGCCCAAAGTTTTTACTGAGATTCATTTGACTGAAAATAATTACAGTTTCCTAATATGTAACCCTTAACGACCCTGTGCATGATGCGATTCTAAACATTGCAGCGGCATGGCAAGCAATTCAGCCTGAAACCATTCAAAATTGTTTCAAGAAAGAAGGTTTCAGAAATAACGTGGTTGACGTCGTGTTGGAAGAAGAAGAAGAACCCTTGATACTGCAAGGTTTTCCTGGATATTCTTCCATTGATGACAATGTGGCACCGTACGAAATTCAATCAATTGAAGATCTTATTGAGAATGTGAATAACACACAAAAAGAAGCCCTAAGTGATAATGATGAAGACGAAGATGAGTCAATTCCGATTTTGTCAAACGCCCAGGTATTATCAGCTCCTAATGATTTAAGACGCTATGTAGCTTCTTTGAATCAAAGCGAAGACGCGATGCAATAGCTAAATTATATTGAAAATCTTTTAATAGCTAATGCATCTTTCAGTCAAACCAATGGTTGGTGGATGCAATGCAACAAGTGAGACGCACCGGCTTTTTAGTTTCCCCAAGAACGATGAACTTTGAAATCTGTGGATGTCCTTACTAGTGCCTACAAATTCTTTCCTCACCGGACTCTCCAAGGAGCAATTATTAAGACAACGTGTTTGTGAAAAACACTTTGATCATCATTAGTTTTACCATGATGGTCGAAGATTGCGGTACTCTTACCCGTGCCTGCTTACTCACAAAGAAATTGCTCACGGAGTCCTACTTCGAGCAGCAGGTGAGTCTTGCTAAGCCATTAAACATATAACAAATGTTAGCTGTATCTCAAAAGTAGAGGGAGTTACGAGTGACAAGCCCTATATAAGACGATGAAAACCAGCCCCTCGCTCCCTTGGATTCGCCCGACTGCCAAGGAAGCAACATCTCCTAAGCATCGCACGGACCCAATACGAAGATCAAGACGGCATTCCTACCGAGTTTAGTTATTAAACTCAGTGGAATCCGGCCGCGCATCGCGCCTAGGGGATTCCCCTTTCACCCCCCCGTCGAAGCCCGACCATAGATGGTTGCGTGGGTCGCGAAGACAGTCGTCCAATAACGCCTCCCCACCGCCATGAGCGGAAGAGAAGAACCGAAGCCGCCCCGCATCCGGTCGCGCTCGCGTAGCTCGCAGCAGACGCGTCACCCGACGACCGAGACGACCGCCGCCGATACCCCACTCGCCAAGCGCACACCGATGCCATCACCAACCGGGCCGCGTGACCACCGTGCCCCTCGCTCCGTCGTACCTCGCGATATTCTCGCGCAGGCCGCGGCGGAACACGGACCGGCGACACCGGCGCCCCACCAACGCGCGGACCCAGCGCCCGCCCAAAGGACGTCACGCCCCAAAATGAAGACTCCACAGCTACAGCGCTCCCCCTCCGCCCCGCACGTACAGAAGACCCCCCTCTCTCGCCTCAGTCGGTCCTAAACCGGGACATACTCGTAGTCGCCGAGCTCCAGAAGAGGGGATGCCTGTCGCGAACGTTGATGGAACAAATATCTATGCTCCTCAACGACAGGATGAGGGAACAGGAGACACCGGAAGACCAACCCATGAGAGACGAAGCCACCATCACCCCCGTAAGGCGCCAACGCACGCCTGATGCCGCCCCCGAAGAAAGGAAGAGACACTGCGTCGAGAGTTCCAGGGACCCTCGCCTGCGCAACCGAGCAGCTCCTGGCCCTAGCGGTACCCCCGTAACCGCCGCCCCCGCCCCCACAGCTGTACCAACTCTATCCCAGTCAAAGACTTTTGCCGACGCCCTACGGACCCAGACGCCTCCAGCCACACAAGCTCCGACTGCCATCACCTCAACGACGCCCGCGCCCACCAGGCCCGCCGCTCCACCCGCCCCCCGCTACCCGCCCCTAGTGGTAGAAACGTTGCCAAATTGGGCAACCCACTTCAGGGCCCTCCGAGCTAAGCTGGGGCATGCACCGAACGCACGTCCCTATGGCAGAGGCGTGCGATTTTCACCCACCTAGGACCAAGAGTACCGAACAATCCAGAGGTACCTGGGGGATCTGGAGAAGACCGAACGAGTGTCCTGGTTCTCCTACTCCTTGCCGACGGAACGCAGCCTTAAGGTAGCCATCAGAGGGTTACCAACCACCACGGAACCAGCAGAAATCCAAGAGGCCCTGGAGGACCTTGGATTCAAACCAGAATATGTCCGCTTAATAAAAGCCAGACAGGGGAGGCCGGGATGCATCTTCTTGGCCATCCTATCACAAACTCCCAACTTGACGCCGAAAATATACGAAGTGACGGAGCTGCTATGCATGCCAGGCGTTATCATCGAGGCCTGGCGCGGCAAGCGAGGACCTGCACAATGTCACCGCTGCCAGGCATACCGCCACTCCAGCCACCAATGCCACCGCCCGTTGGCCTGCGTCAGATGCTGCGGCGAGCACGCAGCACGCGACTGTCCTCGGCCCCTGGAGGAACCTGCCACCTGCGTTAACTGTGGCGGTCCCCACCCAGTGCACCATTCCTCATGCCCACAGTATAAGAGGGAGCTGCGTAACAAGAGGGCTGGAGCTGTGGCTTTCACTCAGGAGACCAAGCACTCCCAACCCTCGCAGGCTCCAACTGCAGACGTATTGTAATTTTTTTAAAGAACTCTTTGATTCAATGAATGGAAGTTACGAAAACTCAAGAAAACGGCAGGGAAAGGTACTTTTAAGAGCAGTCACACCGAAATCGGAGCACAGTAAGCTGTGGGCAAAGGCAAAAAGAGTTTTAAAAACCATAAAATTTGTCAACAAAAAAGGAAGGGAAAGTAGTGTACCATCAGTAACTAACTGGATTCGTACTATAGAAAATATAGAATTACTAAAAAACAGGTTATTTAAACTAAATATTAAATCAATTTGGATGAGGCATTTCAACCAGGATCCGCTTGAAAAATTTTTCGGCTGCATACGTTCCCATGGCTTCAGAAACATCTCTCCAACACTGTTGTATATTATAAGAGGGTAATTACATAGTATATAAGTAAGAGTTAAGTATTAGTATGCTTTGTATGTAGGTAGTACTGACAGTTGTAAAATAAACGCAATACGTAACGGACGTGTTCTTATTTAGCAGTGGCGACGAGGATTAAAAAAGTTAAAAAAAATGGTGTTTGGACAATTGCAAGAGTTTGACTTGAAGAATGGGAGCTGGGCAGCGTATAGTGAAAGAGTGGAGATGTATTTACTTGCCAATAAAGTTGAAGAAGATTTAAAGTTAGCAACGTTAATAACGGTCATGGGGGAGGAGGCATATCAACTTTTGTCGACACTGGCGAGTCCAAAAGCACCATCGACATTAACATATGCTGCAGCGGTAGCGCTTATGTCGGCACATTTACAGCCGAAACCGTCCATATTAGCAGAACGATATAAGTTTCGGCAACGGCGTCAAGCAGAGGGAGAAACCGTTGCAGATTATGTCGCCGTGCTAAAGAAATTAGCCAAGGATTGCGATTTCAAATCCTCGCTGGAAGAAAACCTCCGTGATCAGCTCGTTTGCGGTATCAGCAGCGAGTGCACTCGGCAGCGGCTTTTCGCTGAGGACGATATTACTTACAGTAGGGCAGTTAAGTTAGCGTCGACACTGGAAGCAGCGGAGAGGAACGCGGGTGCAGTTGAGGGCACTAGCACTCAAGGTGTGCACAAAATGCAAACGTTCGCTACACGGCAGGCCAGGTGTATGGCTTGCGGAGTGAATGGACATACAACGGATAGTTGCAGATATAAGGCTTTCGAATGTAGCTATTGTCGGAGGCTAGGCCACCTAAGAAGGATGTGTCCGGACAAAACAGTTGTCGATAGCGCTAAATTCGAATCGATCGGTAATGATCGCAATGGTTCACGCGGATACGGCGTGACAGGCGCGGGGAGAGGCAGCAGCGGCGGCGGTGGAGCGCGGGGAGGCAGCGTCGCACGCGGGCGGGGCCGGGCGCGCGGCGGCGGTGCGGGGCGCGGGTACGGCGCGCGCGCATACTGGCTGCGGGAGCCGACGAGTCACGACAAACTCGAAGCGGAGCAGAGGGATGACGAACAACTCGACGAACCGATGTATCAAATGTCGTTAGCGAAATATAAGCCGGTGGGTCTTACGTTATTAGTTAATAATAAACCATTAAAAATGGAAATCGACACGGGATCATCATTGTCATGTATAAGTAATAATACATACTGGAATAAATACGGTAACGTTAAATTGCACCCGTGTCGATTAACTCTAAAGTTTTACGATGGTTCTATTATAAAGCCTTTGGGTTATATCCAAGTAGAAGTCCGTTACAAAGATAGGAAAAAGATGTTAGATTTATATGTCATCGATAATGGTACTACTACTTTGTTAGGGCATCAATGGCTTTCAGAATTGAGCATTGAAGTCCCACCACTTAGTTTTAATAATATCTCTTACGAAAAAGTAAATAAATCTAAATTAATAAATGACTTAATTTGCAGGCATGATTCATTGTTTGACGGCACACTGGGGCGATATACGGGGCCGGAGGTGCAGTTGCATTTGCGCGAGGGTGCTTCGCCGGTGTTTTGCCGCGCCCGACCAGTGCCGTATGCGCTGCGCGCGCGCGTCGAAGCGGAACTGGATGCAATGCTGCGTGCCGGCGTCATCGAGCCCGTGGCGCGCTCGGACTGGGCAACGCCGCTCGTTATAGCAAGTAAGGCAGATGGTGGTATACGTATATGCGCTGACTATAAAGTAACACTGAACCGATTCTTAATGGTCGACAGGTATCCCGTTCCTAAAATGGACGATTTGTTTAGTGACCTTAGTGGCAATGAATATTTTACGAAGTTAGACTTGTCTCAAGCGTACAATCAACTAGTTTTGCATGAGTCATCGAGAGCTTACACAGTGATCAATACCCATAGGGGGTTGTTCAAATATAATCGCCTTGTTTATGGGCTAGCATCAAGCCCAGGTATCTTTCAAAAATTTATGGAAACTTTATTTAAAGATGTACCCGGAGTAATAATATTTTATGACGATACTTTAATCAAAAATAAGGATATTAAGAGTCATTGTGAAACAATTGAACAAGTGTTTGATATTTTAGAAAGGAACGGGCTTAAGATTAAAAAGAATAAATGTGAATTTTTTGCTGAAGAAGTGCAGTATCTAGGTTTCATTGTAGATAAAAGAGGAGTACGAGTAAATCCGGATAAAATACAGCCTATAGTAAATATGCCACCTCCGCGGAGTACAACGGAACTAAAATCATTTTTGGGAATGGTTAATTTTTACGGCAAGTTTGTTAAAGGTTTAGCATTGTATTTAGCCCCACTTTATAAACTATTGAAAAAAGGTAGACATTATCAATGGGGGAAAGAACAGCAAGAGTCATTCGTTATCGTGAAAAAACTCTTGTGTGGTACAGATGTGTTGGTTCATTATGATATGTCCCGGGAGACGGTGGTGACGTGTGACGCGAGCGCGTACGGATTAGGCGCGGTGCTGGCGCAGCGCGCGCCGGACGGCTCGGAGCGACCGGTCGCATACGCCTCGAGGGCACTTACGTGTGCTGAAAAAAATTACAGTCAAATCCATAAAGAGGCATTAGCTATAATATTTGCTGTAGGTAAATTTCATCAATATTTATTTGGTAGAAAGTTTGTGTTACGGACGGATCATAAACCGTTAGTTAGTATTTTTGGACCAAATATTGGTATCCCAACAACGGCAGCGAGTCGGTTACAGAGGTGGGCGATTAAGCTTTCTGCCTACGATTTTTCCATAGAATACATAGACACGGATAGAAACACGGCGGATGCGCTTTCGCGGTTAATAAAAGCGCACAAAGAAGAAGCGGTTCCCGGCGCCGCCGCCGAGGAACAAGTACCTGAACAGACATACTTACATTTCGCTACCGAAGCGCTCTTATTAGATTATAACATGTTAAAAAAAGAGACCGTTAGGGATCCCTTACTTAGCCGAGTATTGAGCTATATAACGGACGGATGGCCGGACGACGTCGAATTAAGAGAGCTCAAACCGTATCTTAATAGAAAAACAGAATTGTATAACGAACTAGGTTGCATCATGTGGGGGCACCGAGTTGTCATCCCGTCGGTTTGTAGGAGTAAAGTAATAGAGGAATTACACGAATCTCACATGGGCATGGTAAAAACAAAGGCTCTAGCGCGAAGTTATGTGTGGTGGCCCGGATTGGACGAGGCTATCGAGGCGGCTTGTCGCGCATGTGCCGTGTGCGCGAGCGTAGCCGACGCTCCTCCAGCTCATGAGTCTCGCCCATGGCCTTGGCCGGATCGTCCATGGTCTAGATTACATCTTGATTTCTTGGGTCCAATACAAGGGGTAACTTATTTAATCATAGTAGATGCATGTTCAAAATGGATTGAAGCAGTTAAAATGAAAGGTACTAATGCCAGATCGGTTATCGCAGTGTTGCGAGAGATATGGGCGAGATTTGGCTTACCAAAGCAAGTAGTGAGCGATAACGGCCCCCCATTTTCTAGTGCGGAGTTTAGTACATTTTTAAACAATAACGGAATAGGTCAAATTTTCTCAGCCCCCTACCACCCCGCTTCAAATGGGGCTGCAGAAAACGCGGTGAAAGTGTGTAAAAAAACTATTAAAAAGGCAATCAAAAGTAAAATTGATATAGATACAGCTTTATGTCGATTTTTGTTAGCATATAGGAATACGGAACACTATAGCACAGGGGAAAGCCCAGCAAAAATTTTACAAGGTAGAAATTTACGTATGCGTTTAGATAAATTGAAACCAGATCGTTCGCAACGCGTGTTAGAACGACAAACACAGAGTCAAGGGGAAGGCAGGGTACACCGAGGTTTTGAGCCCGGAGAATGTGTTTGGTGTAGGGACTACCGCGTCGGTTCTAGCGATAAGTGGGTGCCAGGTAAAGTCACAGAGAAATTAGGTAACACAGATTATAACATTCGGTGTCAAAACGGAACGGAGGTACATAGGCATGTCGACCAATTAAGAACGAGAGTTTCAGACCCTACGGTCGATGTAAGTGTACCACCTAAGCCACGTAGAACTAGCACACTCATAATACCCGAAAAAAGTCCAGTTGAGCCTGAGGGCCTGACTGCGCCGCCGGTGGCGTTGTCGCCAGTTCCGCAGCCCTCAAGCCCCAGTGTGACGGAAAGCGAGAAGTCGCAAACAGAGACGGAATTATTTCCGCAAATTAAGAGAGTACGAAAACCCCCAGTACGCTTAGGTATAGACGAATTTGATTAAGTATACCTAGATATAATGATTGTAAGATAATTTGAGAATAAATAGGTGAAGATAATAGTTCGTAATATATTGTTTTTTTTGTTGTTGTCATATTAGCTTAATATTTAAATTTCTTAACTTTAATTATATATTAAACATAGGATAAATTAAATGAACTTATTGATGTGTAAACAATTTATTATAACATGTATGTATGTAGGGTTAATTAAGGGTGGAGGTGTTGTATATTATAAGAGGGTAATTACATAGTATATAAGTAAGAGTTAAGTATTAGTATGCTTTGTATGTAGGTAGTACTGACAGTTGTAAAATAAACGCAATACATAACGGACGTGTTCTTATTTAGCACCAACCTCCAACACCATATGCCTTTGAGTCAGCTTTCACGAGCTTGTTAATAAACAATTTATCTAGCAATCACTCTGTAGGGGCAAATTGTGAAGAAGACAATTGTAAAGTTTTGAAATCTATGGATTGCCTTCTGCAAAAAGATGATTATAATCAAAAATTAATTAATATTGACTTTGATGACATTGATTGTGAAATTATTGATTTCATCATAAAAAAGACTAACGTTCGAATATTTAGTCAGCTTAGCTATGTAACTGGGTATGTATTAAAAAAAGCCAAACAAAGTCATAAAAAATTGTGAACTATGTAAAGAGGTGCTGTTTTCTGGTCATGGGAACGATTATATACAACTTCGAGAGTTTTACTCAACTAGGTCACTTACCTACCCTTCTGAGGCAATTATAAAAATATTTTCTGAAATCCAAGATGTGGCAACTTATATTTTGCAAAACAAAAGTAATATGCATAATATAAAATATTATATAAAAACTCTTTTGGCTGCCAAAATTGATTTTAGCTGTTGTTCTTGCCCGGCCCACAAAAATGAATTAAAAGAATTCTTTTTTGAGCTGTGCTCTAGATTTTTTATTTTTAACTGGTGCCGGGATATTAATAAATTGTTAAACGGCACCAGCGCACTATCCGCCAATAACCAAGATGAAATTAAGAAACTCGCCTGTGAATACAGACAAAAAATTAATAAAAACTACAAAAAATATTTCTGTGTTTTATTCCTTCTATCTATAAGCCGGCTTTGTTCATCTAGTTTTCTCTACGTAATATGTTACTTGTTAATGGTTCATACATTTTGGTAAAGGATTCTCCAAAGCTTTTTTACAAATAACATGTTACGTGGAAAATTTAAAACCACATTATTCATTATCATTTATCTAACTGTAATGATAGTAGTAAATTATGATTGAAAAAATAAAAAAAATAAATAAAAATAAACTCCATCCACCTATATCGTTTAGGTATAGTTATACGTATATATACAACACTTAGTTCTCGACAACAATAATAGATGTCGCTATATCGATTAGGTGACTGATGACTCTATTAGTATTGTGCTCTGTGAGTATAGCCCGCTGCCCGCTATGTGAAACGGATCATCAGCTGTTTGAATGCGTACGATTTAAAAATATGAAGTCGCCGCAAGCTCGTTTTGATTTTATTAAAGCAAAGCGCGGATGTGTGAATTGCTTAAGTCTAACTCAACTCTTTATCTAAATGTAAATCACGTAACCTTTGTAAAACTTGCAAAAAACAACATCATTCTTTATTGCATTTTCCTAAAGCGAAGGCTAGCAGTGCGACTGATAGGTATGAAGCGTCCGAGCACGTTATAGGCGACTGCGCGCCCGCATGTTCTGTGTCATTGAGTACAGCTATTACACAGAATTCGAATATACTTTTGTCAACCGCGCAGGTATACGCGCATAGTAGTAACGTAGGTAAACTTATTGTCCGGTGTTTGATAGATAATGGTTCGCAAAATAATTTAATTACGGTGGATTGTTGTAATCTATTGAACGTCCCTATAATTAAATTGCGTAATTCGACTTTGCAAGGTGTTGGTATGACATCGCGACCGGTACATGGTTTTATTAACTTGACAATAGAATCTCGGCTTAACCCTAAAACTAAATTTCATATCCATGCGTTAGTAGTTGACTGCATTACGGACAGACTTCCTGCCAAATTTATTAAATTAACTGACGATATGTCACACTTAAATAATATACCGCTTGCTGATTTATCGTGGAATATACCGGGAGAAATTGATATCGTTCTTGGCGCACAACTTTTTCCTTATATTTATTTAGGAGATAGGATAGAATCTGGCAACCGCTCACCGCCCGCTATATTAACTAGTTTTGGTTACGTTTTGATGGGAGACATTGAGTATCCTAGTGACGTAATACCTACTACATGTAATACATCTTCGTTCACCGCGCTCGCTAACGTTGACATTGAGTCAAGTCTGCAGAGGTTTTTCGAGTTAGAAGAAATTCCGTCTCAACGTTTTATAAGTCCGGAAGAGTTAGAATGTGAAAATATTTTTAATTCTACTGTCATTTTTAAAGATAATAGATATTTTGTCGATTTACCGTTTTCGCGAAACCCCTCCGGTTTAGGTAATTCTCGCGGTGTCGCTCAACGGCGTTTGCTCGCGCTCGAGCGTAAATTCGCGTGCGTGCCAGCCCTGCGCGAGAGTTATAATAGAAATATATCGGATTATATTTCTCAGGGGTATTTAAGCGAGGTACCTGACTCTGAATTAACAGAAGAGGGTTATTATATACCGCATCACGCCGTGGTCAGGCCTGATAAGGACAACATCCGCGTCGTTTTGGACGCTAGTGCTAAGACGCATACGGGGCTGTCACTCAATGACACTTTACATGTGGGTCCTAACTTGTAGGCTGACTTGTTTTCGTTAATACTTGACTTTCGCATATTTCCCGTCGCAATGACTGCGGACATAAAGCAAATGTTTTTGCGCATAGGAGTAAATAAACGACATCGGAAGTACTTACGAATTTTATTTCGTTTTGATACTAATGAACCTATACGCACGTATCATTTTAACCGCGTTCCTTTCGGTTTAAAACCGAGTCCATACCTAGCTATGCGCACATTACGTAACTTAGCGTGTGAGCATAGCGACTGCTTTCCTGAGGCTTCTAAACTGGTAGAAACTCAATTTCTTATGGACGACTTCGTCTATTCGGTTCCTGATGAACAGATGGCGTCGCAATTGTCTCGCGACTTAATTAATTTATTAAAATTAGGCCCTTTTGACCTTGTCAAGTGGGCCACTAATTCACCCGCTCTATTAGGGGTTCTTCCCGAATCCCACCGCCTACCAATAATTTTTTCTGGTATGAATAATGAAATTAATAATTTTAAAATTTTAGGTTTATCATGGGATCCCGCTGATGATTTATTTTCTTTAACTACTGTCCCTGTAGACCATAAATGCACGAAGCGTGCGATTCTATCGCTGGTTGCTCGCTTATTAGATGTACTTGGCCTAGTGAGTCCCGTAGTGCTCTACGCAAAAATTCTTATTAAAGAACTGTGGCTAGCTAAGATAGACTGGGATGAGGTGCCTCCGGAATCCATCATCAGTCGCTTTCAGCCTTTACGCACGATTTTCCATCACTCTCTTCTCTGAGGGTTCCGCGACATCTTGGCGCCTTCAGAGAAGCTGCAGTGAATATCGTAGCGTTCTGCGACGCTAGCTTTAGTGGATATGGCTGTTGCATTTATTTACACATTACTGACCCTAAAGATAATATAACCGTTCGACTTTTATGTGCTAAGTCAAAGGTTTCCCCCGCCAAAATAACAACACTGGCTCGGTTAGAACTAGTCGCCGCGTTGCTTCTGTCTAAACTTGTCCGCTTGGTCAATGAGAAAATTTCCGCTCGCGTACACGTTACAGGTGTTTACGCTTTTTCAGATTCTACCATAAGCATTGTCGTGGATCCATTCTTCCCCTCATAGGTGGTCTATTTTTGTTAGTAACCGCATCGCTAAAATACACGAAAATTTACCAGCCGCTTGTTTTTATCACGTGTCGGGAAAGGAAAATCCTAGCGATTGTTTTTCACACGGTATGTTACCCTCTGATTTAATTAAACACACTTTATGGTGGGAGGGCCCCGCATGGCTCCATCAGGCTAGGTGTGAATGGCCTTTAAAGTTCACTCCTACAGAATCTGAAACTTTGCCTGAATTTAAATCAAAGACTTTTGTTGTTAAATCTTTAAATTCTGAACCGAATATATTTGAAAACATTGTAAATCGCGTTTCTTCTTGGTATAAACTATTGCACATATTCACGTACATTCTTAAATTTGCGAGTAAAAAATATGGCAGTGATATTGGCTCTATTAAATGTATTGAAAACGCCGAAAAATTTATTCGTATAGTGCAGAACATTCATTTTTCTAATGAATTACATTTAATTAAAACCGGCGAACTTCTGTCTAAGAAGTTGCGTAGTTTACCTATCTTTGTTGATGATGACGGCATCTTACGCATAGGTGGCAGACTGTCTAGGTCGGTCCTGCCTTACGAAGCTAAGCATCCCGCTCTATTACCCAAACACGATCGCGTGGTTGACTTAATTATTGACTACTACCAAAATACTTATTGACATACGGGACCCGGACTGTTAATGTCTATTATAAGGCAGCGGTTTTGGATATTAGATGATAGAACTGTCATTCGTTCCCGCTGCCGCAAGTGCAATGTTTGTTTCCATTCTAATCCTACGCACCCTAATCCCAAAATGGCTGAGCTGCCGGGATATCGCGTCCGCGATGCTAAAGCTTTTACGCATACTGGAGTAGACTTTGCCGGACCCCTTTCATACGTGCCTGTTAGACGCAGAGGTCAACGCTCGCAAAAGGCGTACATATGTTTGTTCGTATGTATGGTTACCAAAGCGGTACATATCGAACTTGTGTCGGATCTTACATCAGATGCTTTTCTTTTCGCCTTCAGAAGGTTTATTTCTCGCCGCGGTCCAGTGTCTGTTATATATTCAGATAATGGAACCAACATTATCGGGGCTAGAGCTCAGCTTGGCGAAATATACGATTTTTGGTTAACTTTTTCTCTTCAAAACGACGTTAAGCAGTAGCATCTCAAAAATCGTATTGAATGGAACATGATACCGCCTCGCGCCCCTCACTTTGGGAGCATCTGGGAGTCTAACATAAAAAGCGTCAAGACCCACTTATATCGCGTCATAAGGAAACAGTTGCTTACTTATGAGGAACTCTTAACCGTATTGATTCAAATAGAAAGTCTTTTAAGCTCTCGACCGCTTAGTGTAATTTCATCGGACCCACATCCAGATGTGCTTACGCCTGCGCATTTTTTAATGTCCAGTCCGCTTAAATATTTGCCTTCTTCTGAACTTACAGAAGAAAATAGGAACTTAACGAACCGTAAAAAACTCTTAGATCAGCTTGTATTATCTTATTGGAAAAAATGGCGAGTCGAATATTTACATACATTGCAGGTTAGGCATAAATGGTGTATACCCGAGCACCCCATACAGATAGGCACAGTCGTTCTTTTGGGACAAGATAACGTGCCGCCTTTAACGTGGCCTCTAGGCATTATTACTGAGGTTTTTCCGGGATCGGATGGGGTAGTTCGAGTGGCTTCAGTAAAAACCGCGTCAGGTGAATATAAACGTCCTGTCACTAAGCTATATCCATTGCCAACCCAATAGTACGCTATTAAACCTTGTTTAGTATATTTATGTATATTTAATTACCTATAGCAAATTTAATACATTAATATGCGATCTTGTTATTATAACTAGATTCAAACTTCTATTTATCTAATTTATACTATAATAATAATCATACCGCGATATAATAATTCTTTTGAAATATGATAATTAATTTTGTACGCTATAATATATTATTGTTTCAAATGCTGCCGTTGATTCCTTGATATCTTCAGATTACCGCAACCATTAGCTTAGATCATCTATAACTACCTCAGTAGCTCTTTGTGGGGTATTATATATTTTTTTGAAAGCTCTGGACCTTTCAAGGGGGGGAGCATGGTGTGGCAAGCACTAGCCTTGAATTGTCTTTTTAACGTTTTTTGGTAAGGATGATCTATAGCATTCGACTTACGGGTTGCAGTCGCAATCCTGCAGGCGGCGCCACTCGCCCGAATTCTGATTGGCGCGTTTGTACCGACACGCGGCTCATCGTATATAAGGCTCGCTTTGACACGGCGGGCACTAGAACTATAACGATAACTATAACAATAACTGTTCCGGTGCTCATCTTCTCCCGACTCCTATTATATTATTAACTTACGCATACGCATCCACGGTAAAGTGCTAGTGAGGTGGCCACCAAGAAGACCAGCGAGCTGCACCAGGTAAGCGACTTGCTTTTATCCCGCATAGTTGTAAGCTATTTCATCAACCGCCAAATACGTTTTTAAAGATATTCTAAGGACAGTGTTGGGTCCACGCGTATCCACGCGCTGGACCGTAATTTTGTTCCCATACCGCAAAGAGGGCACGGCTATTTACACGCCTGCCACTCCAGAAGGTATATTATAAAACGAAAGTTATAATGATGGACAAAGTTACCTATTATTGGTTCGACTAAAGAATGAAAACTTTGCCCGAGTTCGAAAAATCCTTAGGCTTGTCGCTTACACTTGAGTAGAGTTTTGGTATGTTTATGTAAGTTTTTCGTGTATTTACGTAAGTTTGTACTTTTGCAGTATCATCGTAGCTTTTGTTTTACTATATACATATAAAAATTGTTACTAAATAAATAAATTTCATTTCAATTTCAACGGAAGCTATAAGATGAATGTTTTTAAATTTTGTTTCATTCAATTTATTATTTTAAATTTCAGAAAAACAAACACATCTCGAATCCGAGAAAGGAAGTCAAGACGTATAATAGGTTCCAGAATGTACAAAAACTACTCCGAACAAATGCTGAAAATAGCATGCGTAGTAGTTGAGTCAAAAAAAATCACTTCCAGAGATGCTACGATGCTACGACTATGCGACTATTTGGTATTCCAAGACGGACGATCATGTACAAAATAAAAAAAAAAGAAGTTTGTTGGGCATCCTATCGTTTTAACTGCTGAAGCGAAAATTTTTTAAGGGTTTTGCAAGTTTCTGCTGAATATGGATCTCCGCTTACTAAAGTGGATCTAAAGCTGTTGGTTTACGAATATATGAAAAAAAATCTCAAGACCACAAATTTAAGAATCAAATTTCCGGTGATGCATGGGTCCAGGGCTTTTTGGCAAGGCATAGTGACGAATTGACTGTTACAACTACTCAAAATATTTCAAAGCCAAGAGCTGAAATAAGAGCCTAAGAAATAGCAGAATATTTTGAAATTTTTTATAAGTTGGAACCTTGTCTTTGGCGCGTAAAATGCAAAGAATATCACGACAGAGACAAACAATCGGTAGCATACGAGAAATTATTAACTAAGCTCAAGGAATTAGAGCCTGCTGCTACAAAAGATGTGATTAAAAAAATTAATACGTTACGTAGTAACTTACGAGTACGTAGTAACGTTCGACGAGGGAAAAAAAATACGATGAAACTGTGAAGTCTGGAGCATCATCTGATGAAATTTATAAACCATCACTGTGGTACTTTGAATTATTCGATTTTATTGGAAATCAAGATGTTCCACGCAGCTCGCGATCTGACATTTCGGATAGAGACGAGAATGATTCCAATGTAAGTATAAATTAGTGAATTATTATTTTGTCATTTATAGATTACTCACAACCGACCACAAACAATTACATTTTTTCATACCGTTCATGTTACAATGAGATAGGTTTAGGTAGAAAACCTTTAACATTGGGGTTTAGGTAGCGCTACCTTTTTATACCGATTAGTATTTCAGTATCGGATTTTCCGGTACCGTTATTTTTATAGCTATCGATATATTTGGGTATCCGGAATATAAGTATGACAAACTAGCAAAAAGCTAAGCTTTGTGAGTGCTCAAGTACTCTTTAGTTTTCTAACAGATGGTGTTAGTAGTACAATAACATTCTATCCAATAAACAAAATTGTTAATGTAATTTTTTTTTAATAGTCATAAAATTCTTTTTTTTGACAGATAACACATCTAGATTTGAAGTAAAGTTATTATGTTAAAGCACAAATCTATGGCGTGAATGTTTTTACCCGACTCCGCCAGAAGTGGGTTATGTTTTTCGGGAGTATGTATGTATGATTGTTTGGCACACTCTGCAGCCTGAACGGGTTAATGGATTTTAGCTTGAGAGGTATTGTTAGATTCGTATATACCGTGAGAGTGACACTGTGTATATCAAAAAAAAAAAAACGAAAAATAAAAAATAAATAAAATGCTGTAAATAAAAAAATATATTTTAAAAATAAAAAAAACCCCGACTGCATAATAGCTACATAACTAAAAAGATGAAAACAAGTTGAAAAAGGAATATAGTACTATGCAGTCGGAGACATACAAATGTACATCTCGCGCGACAAGGACGAAATGTATATGTCTCCGACTTGTAGCTCAAGGCGCTAAGACTTAGAATGTTGGAACTTATTCATTACCCATGGTATGCTGTGTAAAATTCAAACATTCACCAATTGCGTGTGATGTTTTGAGGAATCATAAATATATGGGTGAGGTCGAAATAAGTGAATTGAAAGCATACATAGGACTTTTGTTTCTAGCTGGATTTTATCCCTCTAACAGACAAAATTTGAGTGACTTGTGGCAAACAGATGGTACGGGAGTAGACATTTTTAGACTTGCTATGTCAATTTAAAGATTTTATTTTATTTTATTCAAAGCAGCTTACGCTTCAATGAAAAGTCTACACGTGCTGAAAGATAACAACTTAATATTTTGGCACCAATACGAGAAGTTTTCGAAACATTCGTTGAGAAATGTATTTTATTACCTGTTTGTTACATATATGTATAAATAATATCTTTGAGCTGGGCTTGCAGACGACACGACCTTGTTGTATTTCGGAACTTCCATTCACGACTTAATATCTAAAGCTCAGGAGGAGCTCTTAACACTTTATATAACTAGTTCTATCATTTTTAAAGCCAAAAATAAACCAATACCCACATTTTTAACACATTTACAATAGTATCTCGGTCTTCACATATACAGCCAACTAAATTGGAATACCCATCTAAAGAAAATTAAAACTGATCTCATTGTATGTACATGATAAGAAGCTGATTTTATCTCTTTTTTTACTAGATAAGTAAATATTACTAAGAAATATTTTCCAAAACTTAAAAATTTAGACACGTTGTGTTTTTTATAGATGACTTGTTGAATTTCCTGAAAAACGATCGATGAAATTTGGGATATTGTCTTTGAAATCATTTTCACGTTATTCGCGCCGGGTTAATACAATAACATAAAATATCTACTTAAGAAATTGAAAAAGACTTTTTTGAAAAACCCCCCGAGCTAGGCGAATGTTGGATCCATTGGATTAATCTGGACCTATAGGTGAGTGCCTATTAGATAATATCTTTGCTTACGTACTGCTCGGCTGATAGAACTGGATAGCTACCAAAGCGTTAATGTATGATAGTTATTATTATTATTAGTTTTAACTTTTATTTATCAATTGCATTATACCAATTTTGCCTTGTCACTTGTGCTCTAATTTATGTTATATTTTTAAGTGGAAACTTCGCTGGTTTATGTATTATTTATATCTGATTAATTCTAAGTATTATTGTACTGTATGTTTCCAAAATATTTTAAAAATTAAAATAATAAAATAAGTATCTCTAGAATTAAATATCTACAATGATTATTACTCATCTGCCTTCGCAATGCAGAGGTATAATACTTTGCGAACCTTGTTAAGAAGTAGGTACCTATTTGTTGTACAAGGTGGGGACTAGATATTGATTGTAGTTGTCACCGAAACGCCAAAAGATACATAGTGCCACTTAAGAAGTAATTAATTGGATCCAAATTTTTCCATTCTTTCTTGAAACGTTCGAACAGTTTTATATTTGGACCACTGACTATTGGTTCTAGCAGTGATCCAAATGTCGCAGTCAAAATTAACTCCAAAATGTGATGTCTGCAAGCAAGATGAAGCAGTTTTTTCCCAAGTTTTTTCTCCAACAAAGTACAAGCTCCAGCTTTATTACCAGTATTACTTGCAGTTGTATCGAATCCCATCGACGTTATATTATTTTCAAGATTCCACTCGTTAATTAATTGGTAAACACCATTTGACTGACTTGAGCCTGTTGATTGTTGAATTATCAGAACACCAAGCATTTTTGAAACTCCTTGACCAGATACTACCACTGCTAAACGATCTTCTGACTCAGTAGACTTATAAGCTTTAAAAATTTTCGTATCCCAGTGTACCGTAAGAGGGACTTTTGGACAAAAAGATGATTTTATAAGTAATGCTTCCTCAGCTCGGTGTTTTTGTCGCGTGCGTCTAATAGTTTCTTTGCTTACCGTGACATCTGAGACCTTACGATCTAACGTTGCTGAAAAGGCAGACATCAAAAGTAAACCGTTTTGATTAGATGTTTTAGTACGATCCAACATTGATGAGAGCATTGGAGAAATCTTATATTTAGGCTTCTTTCTAGGAGGAGAAGCATAAAGTTCGTGAGAAGACGTGCTCGAGAGAGATAAATTTTGATTTTGAGATAAAGGTTTATTTAATTCATCGTCTTTTAAACTCACTGCAGTTGACGTAGAAACAGCCGAATTGTGAGCTTCGTCATAAAACAATGAGCACTTTAGAGTAATATCAAATAGTGAATCAAGTGACTTTGAAAATTTGTTTTCATTCTGCTGTTGGGTTTCAGATAACCTCTGCCGATTTTTTTTCAAGCTCTTCCAAAATGTAAATAACTGATTCACTTTTTCTTTAACATGATATTCTTTGATAACGTTGTAATTATTCCAGATATTTAAAACTGTTTTTGATGTTCTATTTAAAGTTTCGTTTACTGTTTCTTGGTGCTCATAATGATAATATAAAAAATAACTTAAGACTGAACGTTTTGTTGGCAGTTGAGAGCAACGAAATTGAGTGACACATTTTCCTAGCAACCATTCACCTCGTTGCGAACATTCTGATCGTAATCCTTGTCGTGAGCTCATTTTACAACTATAAAAAAAAGTTTACTAATTATTATAATTAACATCGATTTCTATCAATAAGTAGAATGGATCAATTAAAATAAAACTCAATTATTGACAGTACTTTTAAGCATACACAAAGTAACATTATGAAAAAAATTTAGGTTAGAAAAATGTTTAGTTACAAAAAATATTTTTAAAGTAAATAAAATAGTTACCTTTCATAGTAATTAAAAAGACGATGATAAAACTATATATTTGACATTAACATTTACTTGTCATTAACATGAACTGTTCAATTACGGATTAATTATGCTAAGGACAAAAAGCAACGCTGACAGTAAACAATTGTCAATAAAAGAAGACGGTCGAGGACAAAGACAAGTAATACTTGACTCGCGCGCCTGGTGTCAAAAAATTGAACTAAAAATTATTCAAATATATCTAATAATTGACTATTGTTGTATTTAAAAATTATAAAAATGTTAAATAAAGTAATAAAAACATTAATAAAGCTTCAATTTTTGTAAAATAAATTAATTTACACAAATTAAAAAATTATCAATTTTTCACAATTATTCAAAAATGGTGAGAATTGTTCATTAATTTTTTTTTTGTTTCTCGTGCTTTAATTTCATTCTTTAGCATGTGAAATTTAAGGAAAAAAATATTAAGTTCGTTAATATTCATGTTAAGAAGTTGCTCAAATAGATATAAAGTACTCGATTTGAAAACTTAAAAAAATTGTAGCGACCTCTAAATATTAAAATTTTGACTTGAAATTTTCAGGATCTTCATAATTTTTCATGTAAAAAGAAATGAAATTACGAGAAAAAGCATTTGAAAAAAAATCGATTTTTGAGGATTTAGGAAATTTAAAAAAATTGTGAGCGACCTTTAAAAAAATTTTTTTGAGCTGTCCTTTGGAGAGGACTCTTAAAACATAGTAAACTAACATATTTTCACACGAGACATGAAAAAAAAAATAATCCTTTTTTTTGGGTCGCCCTAATATATATATATATATATATATATATATATATATATATATATATATATATATATATATATATATATATATAAACAAAACACAAATCGTCGCATCACAAGACTTTCTTTTGGAGCTTTATTAAATAAGGCCTGGGGAAAGGCAGCTTCAGCTGAAAATGCAATTGCTGGATTTAGAGCAACCGGAGTATACCCATTAAATCCAGATTGCAGTACTAGACTACGCCTTTTGTCAAGTGCCTGCTGGTCCATCTTCTGATGTCCGTAATGAACTTGCAAGCGGGTTGGAATCTACTGATGAAACATCAATCCCTCCGGATTGATCTGCCTGCAGTAAACCCACGACTTACAAAACGCTTACTAAACCTCAATAGAACAAATCTCAAAATAATGATAGGGACGATAACGGGCCACTGTCCCTTGAACAAACACCTATATAACATCGGCGCAACGGACACCCCTCTGTGCAGAGGGTGCCTCGGCGCTGAAGAATCAGTTGCCCACGTAATCCTGGAATGCGTAGCGGTAAGTTCTCAACGTGAAGAAATCCTCGGACCAGTGAGGTCGCTCCGTGAAGCCTGTGAAGTTCCCAGGAAACTTCTGCGCTTCTGGGCGGAGCTCAGCTGGCTAATATAGCCAGGATTTGCACGCACAACGGACCAGAAGAGAGTCTAAGTGCGGAAAACGAGTCCACTTTACATTACATTACAAAGCGTGCATTAATTAAAACTTATTACAAGCCGCCAAAGAAAATCAGTCAGTTCTTACGACCTATCAAGTGCCAAATCCCTCTTCAAAAGCAGGAGCTTAATAATAGGAAGCAACGTCGCAATACTGAGTCTGCGGTCTTTCACTTAGATGTGTTTGATTGAGTGAATCTTACTGTACCTACGTGAAAAAAGTACTAAATGTAACGAATTTCCTGATTACATAAAGATTTGTTAGTAGCAGCCAATATACGGAAGAGTTTTCGCTTATTTCCAACTACACGACAGATAAATAATAATTTAGCTGTGACAAAGTCATTGTGTTGTAACAAATTGTGTGGAAAGCTTCACATATTTCAGTGATAACAATTGGAACTGGATGAGAATTTTCGTATGAAATTATTGAATGCATTTTATTTTTATTTATTTTTTATTTATTATTAAGGAAACATACAGTGTTACAACACAAACAACATATAAAATAAAAATAGTACATACACCAATAAAGTTTCCACAAACAATTCATACAGTAAAAGAGTAGAGATTTGACAAAACAACAACACTTGAATTATGTTAGCAGAACATGCATTAAAATAAGATATGGAGTTAAATTATTAATATTTTAGAAGTACATTCCTAATTTTCCTTTTGAAATTTTCTACGGTACAATTCATTAAAGTGGAAGTTAATACCTGGAAGTAGTGCATATGTCCAAAAAATTCTCTCTATGTCCCCTATCACAAGACACAAGGCTTTTATTTATCATCGCCAAACGCTTTTATTTAAAAATGTATAGTGTCTTATGTGATTCACATAAAACACTATACATTTATAAATAAAAGTTTAGAAACCCCTATTTTACAATATTAAAAGCCATTAGAACAAATCAAAGTAAACGATTTATTGCTTGTTTTTATTTGATACGATCCAATTAAGATATGAACCCATTAGTCGTTTAGTCTTGAAAAAGCCAACATGGCCACAACTAGGTATTTATTTATGGTAAGAATTAAAAAATATAACTTCTAAATAGTCTTAACTCGTCCTTCATTACTGATACACTACATTAAGGAGGAGGTGTTATATAACTACGGAAGAAGAGCAGTTGGTATAGATGATTTAAACTTTTCTTAACGGGAGCAAAAAAAATAATTTAAAAAAGCACGACCTCTCTTTTTCTCTATGCCCAAAGATTGCTTTCAAATTATTAGACCGCAAATTGGGATAATTCTATGTTACGTAAATCTGTACATATAATAAAATTGTAACTAAGCCGAATATGTACATTAAATATTTTTTGGAAAATCTTATTGAAATAAACATTATTATCGTACAGAAGCCGAATCTATAGTTTTTAGAATTTTCGTCTGTCTGTCTGTCTGCTTGTCTGTCTGTTACCGCATCATAGAAAAACCACTGGAGAAAGTTTGATGAAATTTGGTATGATGATAGCTGGTTATCCGGGTCAACATATAGGATACTTTTTACCGCAGGAAAATATATCATTTTTGAGAAAAAATACAAAAACTGCAATGTAAGAGTATACTAATATGTAAAACCTAAGAATTTGGTTTTTGGTCATCTGAACGCGGGCGGAGCCGCGGGCAATGCTAGCCAATAATAAATTGGAATACTTTGTAGATGTCAATGTGAGGAACTAGTGTCTGGTTGGGTCTCACGTAGGACAAGTAGATAATTATTGTATTACAATATTGTAAACCAATATAACTGTTGAGTTTCCCGCCGGCTCTTCTCAGCAAACCTGCCTTTCGAGCCAGTGGTGGATTCCTCACGGAATGACGACACTGATATATAATTTAAATTTAAAATGTAAAATTGACTATTCAAAAATACTTGTAAAAGTATATTTGAATAAAGTTTATTTTGATTTGTGCGTAATATATTAAAATGAGAAATATTCTTCCAGATTCTAGCAATGGGTCGTCTAATGTCTGCTAATAGTGAAGGTCTATCGTCGTTTCAACTAGTAAGTATTAATTTTAATTGTTAAAACAGTTGTTGCACACAAGAAATATTACATTTTATAGTAATTTTTCAACCATTTTTTCACGTCCCACTGCTGGGCATAGACCTCCCAATACGAGGATCAGGCGACCACGCTGGCCAAGTGCATGTTGCTGGACGGACGACACGTATTTCAAAAATTACCAATTAAACAAACATTTTTATTTGCAGCTTGCAAGACTATCATTCCCTACAGTGGAAACTGTAAGTAGCAATTTTTATATAGTAATTTATTTATTTATTATTTATGAATATAAATAATCTCTATTTTCGCTCAAATATTAAATAAATTTCTCTTTTAAATAAAACCTGCTAAACAACCCGCAACAAAATAACCAAAAGCCGAAATATTATTTATTACAAGATATGAAACTACGGAAGGATATATCATAGAAATAATTGACTTGTTTTATTAAATATTTAGAAACCATACAATATGCCAAACAGTAAAGAAATTGATCCAAGACACAGTTATGCCAAAGAAAAATTTGAACAACTTATGGACTACACCAGATACATGAATGGAAGAATTAAAGAACCTCACAACCCTGTAAGTACACTTTAGGTGATAAAAATGGTTCAAAGAGATTCAAACCAAATTGCTGATCATGAAGAGGTAAAATTGTACGAGAAAGGCGTCTGTTTAAATGTAGTTAAACCACTTAAATATTAGACAGATTTTCCAAGCTTATACCATATTAAAATATCTAAAAATTATCTCCAGCCTTTCTTAGATAAACATTATTTTGTAATTACTCTTTTAATATTTTTGTAGACAGAACGTCGAGAAATTTTAGAAACCGCTCAGAAAAAATTATTTTCTTTCATCGATGTCCATATCAAAGATTTAAAACGACTACTTTTTGAAACCGATATGGCTTTGATGTCTATGGTTTTATTAAAACTGAATAAAAAGATGGATACATCTGAAGCGAAAATAAAATCTACTCAAGCTAAAATACCTTTCGGCCTATACACAAGTCCTGGTAAGTACAACGAGAATTTTGGAGCACTCTTGAAATATTCTTTCAAGATCATAAAATTTTGAATACCGTATATGTATTGTTCAATCATTTCTCTATTTTTTAGAATTTAAGTGTCTGGGGACATCGTACTATATCGCTTCACCACATAATCAAGAAGATGTCCAAATGATACTTTCAAGCGAGAGAAAGCCCCATTGTTACACATTTAGAGGTAACGTCAAATTAATCGATAAAAACAATTTAAGTTGATGAACATCTAACTCAATAGAGATTTGTATAAAAAGTCTCATCAATTTATGTTCAAGAAGTTTCAACTTCCCCAAAATAATGGTTAAAGCTGATAAATGTCACATTTTTTCTTCTGTGACGTCATAGAAAAAGACACCTCTATAATTATTTCATACAAACAGCCAACCAACCAAGCCACTATGATGATAATAAAAGTTCCTAATATAGACAAACGTGTTATATTTCAGGAGCTTTTGCATTTACGGGATTCTATCATCGACATTCTGAAACGACTTATGTGGGACCTCACGCTGAACAGTTCCAAGCGAAGGATCCCAGTCAAGGACTCTACTGTCATTCAGATGATAACTGGAGTGATGCACAATGCATCTATAAGTACGTACCGTGTTACCATATTAATGATATTCCCGTTATACTTTTAATGTTACAGACACAAATGTCCACAGTCAGAATTTGACTGAATATTGTTTTAAATTGATTAGAATTTTAAATCAATCGTCCAAAAGTCTTTCCCGATTTAGTAATACCACATGGCAAATCTTTATCAATAGACGAAAAGTTGTTAAATATGTAGAAAAGTAGTTATTACAACAGTTTCATTTCTATATTATTCTCTATTTTACCGGAAACCGGAAGAATAATTAGGAGAATCTATTTTCAGAATAAATCCTAGAGAAGAATTTCCAGAATCCGTTGAATATGAACCCAAAGTATCATATTACTGTGGACCGTACCGCTACTTCATCCCAGCTACAACCGACATCAGATGCATCTTCTCCATTTTCTCAATGAACTTCATACTACGATTTGGATACGACGGAGTCACATACAAAAGCTCAGATTTGACATTTGTAAGTAGTGTATAATAATGTCATTTTAATAAAAATATTTACTTAAGTAACCTAAAGTATTAACTAAAAAGGAATTGAGAGTATAGCCAATATATTAATAAAAAAATAGAATCAAAATCAATTTCAAAAACGTTTGAGAGAATCGATCAAGTTTTCGAAAGACATGTAATGTCTGCATTTGGCAAACGTAATAATATGTTAGGACATTAACACACAGCGCCGTTTAGTTCCATAGTAAGCTACGAGGCTTGTGTTATGGATACCAGATAGTTGATACACTACACATATATAACTTTAAATACATACATATTATAAATATAAACACCCATGACTGGAGTACAAACATTCGTGCTTATCACACAAAATAATGCCCCCAGCGGGGCTCGTACCCACGACCGCTGGCACAGCAAGTAGCCGTAGGGTCACTACAAACTGAGCCAAATGTGATGGACTATAGCCTGCTCCCCTCATATGTTAGGGAACCACGTACTCGTTACAATATCAGTATGTATAAGATAATCATCAATCTTGGTTTTATTTATACAGATGTATCAAAACGGCCAAGTGTTCTACACAGATGAGCCATGGGCAGGAATGTCTTGTTGGAACTGGGCGTGTAAGTGGCGACATAATCAAAACCAACGATCTAACGAATTCTTTGTTAATTAAATAAAATTTACAATTAAATTTTAAGTTTCCTTATACTTCGAGCAAGTACCTATATCTATATTTTGTTTCCTTTAAATAGTAAATCAAAAAATAATAATCCCTCCACGACCGTGGACACGCCGGCGTGTCAGTTAACAATAGAAATTTATCTGGATGTGTTAAGAAGTTAATTTTATTCATTTTTAAAGTAACATAGCACGGTCATTGCAAGGCCGAACTAGCATCGCATAGCAGTTCCTAGCATTAGGAAATTGAGGAGCAAATGTAATTTTTGAATAATCCGAATGTAATTCTGTTAATATTATAAATATACTAGCGAGTCATCCCCGCTCCGCTCGGGTTCGTCCTTAGATACTTTTTAACGGTTATTATAGAATATTTCTGAAATAAAATATTTTCCCGCAGTAAAAAGTATCCTATATGTAAAACCGGATAATCAGCTATCATCATATCAAATTTCATCAAAATCTGTCCAGTAGTTTTCTCGTGATGCCTTCTCATACAGACAGACAGACAAAAATCCTAAAAACTATAGATTCGGCCTCTATATTACATCGATAATTTAATTTACTTAAAAAAAATATTTAATGTACAGATTCGACTCGGTTAGAATTTTATTATTAAGTATGGAAGAAAAGTTTTTAAATAGGTTGGGTGGTTTTTTTCTGAATATTCGAGTTAACTGTTAAGTTATAGCTTATGATGATGAAAGTAAGCACACAGGTAGACTATGGGACTAATATAATCATATTTAGTTGGGACGTAGTAGTCGCCCAGTGGTAACGCTCTCGCTTAGGAAACCGAGTGAAACGGATTCAAATCCCGGTTCTCGCACCTTTGATATTGTCATGTGCGAATCATTTCCAACATGAAAACCACATTGCCCAAGACCGGGATGGTTAGCGCTCTTTGGGGGAGGCCTTTGTTCAGCAGTGGACGGCGATAGGTTGATTGATGATTGATGAACCACTTGTCTTACGGTGAATAGAAACATCGAGAACAAATAAATCTGAGAGAATCTAGTAAGTTTTCGAAAAACATGCTCAATCCGCCTGTACTTGGCCAGCGTGGACTATGGCCTTATCCCGCTCGTACTGAAAGGAGGCCCACCGCCAGCAGTGAGACGTAAGTGACTTATAAATTATGTTAAAATTTCAGTTCTGAATTTAAGAATAAATGGCGCTAGTTAATAATATTGATAGAAAATATAGAAAATACTTTACCTCTATTAACACTTTTTTCTTCATCATTGATCATTCTGTCTTCAAGTACTCACTAAATAAGATTCCTCCTTGGTATTTAAACTGTCACTTATTATATACATTTTTCGGTTAAGCCATTTTAACACTTAAAAAAAAACTGAAATCATTCAAGAAATATCGAGAAGCATTATTTAAATATATATTAATGTATAAAAAAAAGCAATAATTAAAACATCATTAAAACTTATCAACAATAATAATTGATTTAATCATCAACAATAATCTACTTTATATACAAAATTATCTACAAACAGACTGACATATTTAAAAAAAAACAATTTTCTTTTACTTTAACCCAATAAATAACAGGAGAAAATTCAGAGTCAATTCTTAGATCATTTAAATAAAATGCATCACATTACTTATTATTTACTAGCGAAATACCCCCGCTTCGCTCGGGTTCGTCCCTAGGTACGTTTTAATTTTTTTGAGCGGAACCCTAATTCTTTTTCCAAAATAAAAGTCGCCTAAATTACTCCTTATAACATCAGCTATCTGCTAGTGAAAGTCCCGTTAAAATCGGTCCAGCCACTTCGGAGATTAACCGAAACAGACAGACAGACAAAAATTTTAGGAATTATATTTTTCTTATAAGTACCGTATATAATTTCATATGCATTTAGTAAAAAGCCGTTATTTGAACATTACAAACAGACATATTTTATTTATCTGTATAGAAGACTACAATTAGACCAGGAGACGGTCGTCATTGGGAATTTAATTTCTACAATTATAAAAAAGATATTTATGTGATTAACATATTTGTTAAAAATAATCCGAAATCCATTGAATAACATAACATGTCGGATTTTGATTTTTACTTTAGTTAAAAATCAAAATCCGACACAAATGAAAATTCACTGTCGGCTCCTGGACTATTTTTGGGTTAAAGTTTCCATATTTTATAATAACAACTACATTATATATTATGTATTGCTTATTATTGATATATTTAGTTGCACTTTCGAGGGTAAAGCAAGACAAATATTTTCTTCTTCTTCTCCCTGCCCATTTCCCAAATCACTTGGGGTCGGCGCAGTACACCTTCAGTGTACTGCTGATAGGATTTGGCAAAAGTTTTACGACCGGCCGCCTGCCTGACGTCAACCCTCCTTGGGAATGTAAAGCAAGACAAATATATTATTACAATATTATTTTCGAGTTTTTGTCTCTTTCACTCTAGTTATATAAACAAACTGAGAGAAACAGTTCAACGTATATACGATGGCACTTACATATACTGGACTTCGTTTATATAAAAGTTTAACGCATCTTTACCCGTTTTAATGTAATTAATTTTATTATATATTTATATTTTACCTATTTCATTCCTTAATTTTAAGGAAAAGGCGTAGTTTCAACTGTAATACGTTTTGATAAAAATAAATACGTATATGTAAAATTTACATATCTACTATATAGAAGAAAACAATCATAAATATAACAATTTAACTAAAAAATTACTAGATACACATTCAGCGACAAAAAATGTCCTCACTGAATGAGCGCTCGTTTAAACATTTGAGCGCGCTTTTATTGTTTTTTTGTGAAAACAACTTTAAGCATTACATTTAAGGTTCAATTTACATTGTTGTATATTTATTTCAACTAGAACAATTACCTAAACACAATTGGTGACAGTTTTAAGAGAACTTTTGCATGGGATTGTGTATCTAGTACTTTTTTGATCGATGTTTGAAAATAAATTTTCACATACATTAGTTTATATTTGAGAATATAACATATTCACTAAAAAGACATTAAAAAACTAGAGAAGTAATTTTAGTATCAAAAAAGTATAAAGCAAGTAAAGACACGAAAATATGTCATACAAATCTTATTATACTTTCTTAGATTTACGCGAACATTTTACATTTTAAATAAAACTTTTCAAGCTTTTTTCGCAGATTTAAATAAAATAAGGTATAATACTTTCTTAGAATTACTTATTTAATTAATTATTTTAATAAAGTTAAAAAAAAATAACAGCTGAAATTAAATAAATAATATTGCCATATTAAATTATAGAATTAATCAAAAGTTTTTAAAAATGTTACGAATTAAAATTAACAAATATTTGCAAGGTGCCATTTTTGTATTTTTGAAATCATTTTGTAATTTTTTGGGTAGGCACTGTCCGTAACAAGTATATTATTATTTTAATATAAAATCCTTTGAGACGTCTAAAACCTTAATCTCTCCCGTGACCAAGATCGATGTAAATTGTAAAGCATTCGAAACGTCGGGAACAAAAAATCAAAATAAATCCGCGTAAACATCCGAAAAGACAGTTTTATTTAAAACGTCGAAATCTTCATCTATACCACCCTATCACTTTATTATTATGATTTAATAAAACAGGCAAAGCCATTTATATCAACAAGTCTAATGTCCGATTTCACCAACATCCCATAAGCTACCACGTACGTATGGGATCCCTAGCTTAAAAGTTCCCCTAAACTAGTCCCTAAATCAAAGATCGTTTTACCATCGTCAGAGCCCGTATATCTAGTACCTATATTTGGGTGGCATTTTAATATTTAGGTGACCCCTAACTGTCGGTGAAACAGAAACTGTCCCCTAACAGCCCCCTAAGCAGGCTTAGGGGATCCCTTAAACTTAAGTGACGTTGGTGAAATCGGCCATAAGAAATTTTACATTATAATGCAAAATTTAAACATCTAACGTAGCGTATTGCACACATTTCTAATATACACTAATATATAATCTCCAATTTAATACCACACGAGACGTGTATTCGCATAACGATACGTTAATTTACAAGTCGGTCAACTCCGTCTCAGTCAACTTTAGAATGGCTACCACAAAAGTAAATAATTCAATAATCTATACATATAATAAAATTCTAACAGCCGAACTTGTATATTAAATATTTTTTGGAAAATCTTATTGAAATAGTCATTATTATCGATACAGAGGCCGAATGTATAGTTTTTAGAATTTTTTGTCTGTCCGTTTGTGTATCTGGGAACGCATCCCGAGAAAACCACTACAGACCAAAGTAGATTCTTTTTTGTTTTGTTTTTTTTAATGACTAATATCCGTTTTAATAATAAATTCTAAGTATTTTTTTTTTACTTTTTTTGGTGTTGACTACAAAGAAAATTAGGTCACTTTAATTCTGAAAGTGTCAATTGAATTAATCAATGAAACGATTTTTACTTTTATATTATATCGATACCCTAATTCGCAAGTCGATTCAATTCTACCTCTGATTCAATACACTTTTTAGAGAGCACTAAAAATGTTATTATTTTAAAAATATTATAAATTCAGAAAACAGGAAGTTTAAAGTCATTTAATTATTTTTTTTAAATGGAATAATTATTATTTTACAAATCTATAATATGATTTGACATTTAGTATGTAGATTTCTCGGGGATGAGTTATTTTCCAGCAGTAAAAAGTATCGTAGAATATGTTGACCCGGATAACCAGCTTCATCATACCAAATTTCATCAAAATTCCTCCAGTGGTTTTTCCGTAATGCGGTAAGAGACAGACAGACAGTCAGACTAAAATTTTAAGAACTATAGATTCGGCCTCTGTATCGATAATAATGTCTATTTCAATAAGATTTTCCAAAAAAATATTTAATGTTTTATATTTAGCATATTCGGCTTAGTTACAATTTCATTATATTTATAGATTAAATTTTATACTAAGGGTTTTTTTGCCGGTACAGCAATAACACTTTCTCCTCTTGTATTTTAAGTGTTAATAAAAAAATATACAAGAAAAAATATCATAACACACAAGTCCACGTTTTTTTCTATGTCTTAATAGAAAGCCTATTAATTAATTTCATAATAATGAAAATAATTACATTTAAACTACACGAGACGAGAACAACTTTGGTGAATTAAATGTAAACTAACAAACTGCAAAATAAAACTATTTCTAGGTGAAACAATTTAAAATACTACTTGCATTAATTTTATACACTTACTAGAGACTCACTCGATATCGCCCCTAGTTACTTAAAAAATGGGGGGTGGGGGTAGGAGGGTGAAAAATACTTTACGACCTATCCTCATTCATATCTTTTGGTAGAGAAACCGCTCTACGTGTGCCCGAGGCGGGGTGTGTGGGACTCCTGCCGCGAGAAGCGCGACACACTACCCACTAAACCCACCACGGTGATCCCGTTCGCAAGAGACAGGGCCACGGGGCCGCTTTCGCATTCTATCGCAAGCATGCAACCCTGACAGCGCTGCTCGATGTCGATCTCCCTATTAATTTAATCTCCCAACCCCCCCCCTCCCCCTGCCCCCTCCCCAAGAATCCTTTAATGCCAAACGAAATCGACAGAACGATGTGCTAGGATGACTGTCAGGAGCACATCGTCCTCCCCCCTATTCTCATACCTACCAAAAATATATAAAAAAAAATAATTAAAATCGGTCGAGACGTATCAGAGGAGTGCGACCACAAACACCGTGACACGAGATATTTAAATATTAGATAATTTTCATGCTATTCTATCAAAAATAAAGATATAATGAATTTTGTTAACAACAAAAATTACGCCGTCTACTAAATTTACATCCGATCTATAAAGCTTCTACTCATTTTTAGAAATCGGTCAAACATATAAAAATAGCTAACTCAATTACGAGACAAATAATAAAACTAGATTCCAACCCGCTACCACCTTCTTGGCAGAAGGCTATACATTATATTCTATATAATATAAATGTCACAGTCGAAAACTGTGACAGTAGTATTATATTTTCAATGATTATTTAATTTGTATTTTATTTTGAGTCTAAATTATTATAATACAGCTAATTTTGATGTTTTCGGATTCAAATGAAAACGTATAACAACACTTAAGTTTAATACTTTCTTAGATTTACGCGAATATTTGACATTTTCAATAAAATTATCTTTTCGGATTTTTTCGCGGATTTATTTTTAATATTGTAAAGTACTTTGGTGTCATTTTTCATTTTTTTTAAATTCATTTGGTTATTTTTTTGTGTAGGCTGTCTGTAACAACTATATAATGCCTATGAGACATCTAACACTTCAGTCTCTCCCGTGACCATGGATGCTGTAAAGCATTCGAAACGTCGGGAACTAAAAATAAAAATAAATCCGCGAAATAATCCGAAAAGATAGTTTTATTTAAAAAAACAACAACAATATAAAGCTGATCTACAACCAAATTAACGTCTTATTATTATTTATAACGCAATAAATTATTAATAAATACAATTTTTAAATCGATTTTATTTAAAACTCCATATTTTTATTATCCAATACCATTTTCTTGTTATCAAATTTATTTATAAATCTAACTAATTAGAAGATAATATAAAATTAATAGAGTCATAACTCAGTATTTCTATCAAACACAGGAGTTAATATTTTTAATTTAGTTATTTTTTTACTGAAAATACTAAATGCATGTATAAGCATTAGTAAAAACGATGACGAAATCGAACAAATTACAATCAAACATTATTTCCAACATAAAAATTAAATTAAATGTGTATTGAAAATTAACTGCTTTAAATAATTTATTCTCAGATATGAAAAAAGTACTAGATACACAATCAGCGACAAAAAGTCACCGAATGAGCGCTCGTGTGAACATTTGAGCGCGCTTTTATTTATTTATTTTTAAAAACAACTTTAAGCATTGCATTTTAACATTACAACGTCATAAATGTGTTTTTTCATATAACTAATAGATGGCGTTACCAATATGTACATACATTTACATCATTTTTAGGGTTAGGCCAGTATTGCGGTAAGAGCTTCATATATATACTGCCTAATTTTGAATATTATTATTTAAATATCAAACGAAGTAATAAAAAGGATATAGATATCTCCACCATCCGCCATTATTCTCTTCTTCTTCACATTTATCGTTGTCTCCCTCTAACGTTGCCTCCTATGAATGACAAAGATATACATAATATGTTACAAGAGACATTGTATAACTAGCGACTCACTAGCTTCGCCCGGGTTCGTTCGTAGTGAAAATCAAAAACAAATCTATCCCACGGGAGTCGTAAATTTTTCCGGGATAAAAAGCCTATGTGCTGTTTCAGACTATAATCTATCTCTGTGCCAAATTCCATCCAGATCCGTTCAGCCGATCTGGCGCGATAGAGTAACTAACATCCATACTAACAAACTTTCACATTTATATAATATTAATAATAATACGCATTAATTGGGATGGAACATTTAAAACTGTTTAAACTTTTCCTTATTAGGACATCAGAGTCTATGCCCTAAGACCTGTAATTCCTTAAATATTTTTAGTCCGACCTGGGACTCGAATTCCAGACTTTATGACCATAAGCCATACGCAATGCTAATTAGGCTAAAAAGGAAAATAATAATAATACTACCTTTTTATCATTTGTAGGGTTTTCTCTGCCATTATCATCTTTTTTAATCTCTGCACTGTTATTATCATTATTTTTTTCTTTAGCTTCATCATTTTGTTGTTCGTTCAAACTTTTGTTTGAATCTTTATTATCTGTACTACATATTTGTATAAGAAACTCTTCGGTTTGGGAACTTTGGTCTCGCGTTGTGATGCCATTCTCAATTTCTGGTCCTTCTTTTGAAGACTAAAAAAATATTAATAAAAACTAAACTTAACAAGGAAAACAAAAACGAATTCATCCCACGGAAATGAGCGCTCATTCGGTGGAGGACATTTTTTGACGCTGATTGTGTATCCTAGTATTTTTTGATCGATGGTATTAGTATAGGTTTATTGAAGGTCATACATATATATATATATATATATATATAACAAACAAACTGAAATACAAAAGATATATTTAAAAAAGGAATGCATACCTCCATATCTTGTTCCTGTATTTGAAACGCTAGTTCATTGTTTACTTGGTCGGGCCCGAATGGGATGAAGTCTGGTACTTCCTGGAAGATAGAAAATTATTATAAACTTAGTGACTGACATTCTCACTTCGATCTGGATCGTCTCTAGTGAAAAACAAAAACAAATATATCCCACGGGAACCGTACATTTTTCCGGGATAAAAAGTAACCTATGTGCTATTCCAGACTATAATCTATCTCTGTGCAAAATTTCATCCAGATCCGTTCAGCCGTTCTGGCGTGAAAGAGTAACAAACATCCATCCAAACTTGTGCATTTAAAATAATAATAATGGGATCAAAAATAATACTTTTTTTATGTATAACATTTATATTTAATTTGTCGTTTTTCAGTTTTTTGTTCATACAATATAGTGATGCCTCAAACTAAAGAATTATATACTCGAACATAAATGGAACTCCGAACCCGCCAAAAAATATTAAGGTAAAAAATATTTTTGCTATTTTTGCTATTATTCTCGTTATTGTCATAAAAACTGCTCACTTTCATTAAAGAAAAAGTGTTTTTTTATTGATACTAGTAGTTAATTTACAATTCTCGAGGAGAAAATATAAATAATAAATATCCATACTTCCTCCATACTTGATATTATAAATGTTAAAAGTGTTTTTGTTTGTTTGTTTTTTTTACCTCGAAACGGAGTGACGGATTGACGTGCTTTAATAGGAGTATTTTCCCGTGGGAAAGAGATAATCTCCCGCAGTAAAAAGTAGTCTACATAATTCGTTGGCTTACTATTACAAGGTTCTATGTTAATTTTAATGAAGTTTAGTAATTTTTACATAGAACTTCGTTATTTTGTTATCGTAAAAAAAAACAACATAGAACTATGTATAATTGAATATTTTGTAGTTAAGTGCTGCTATCTAGTGGTTTGTTTTTGCAAAACTGTAGCTAATGACACATAGAACCTTGTAGCATTCGTAACTAAATAAGTACTAAATTTGTAACATAGAACCTTGTAATAGTGAGCCAACGAATTATGTCACTCTCCAGCTCTCCTCTGTTTCGTCGTAACAGAAGGACAGACAGATAAACAAACAAACAAACGTTTTCACATTTATTATTTATCGAAATATATATTTACACATCACAGCAATGAATATTATCTTAAAATTTGAATACCTGTGGCGACCTCCCCGATAACCATGTCCTGTACTCCCCTGCAGCTTTCCTCATCCTGTCCAGGTAAGCTGGTGCGGCGCGGCTGGACGCCCACGCCGCCACGCCCCCGGGCATCCCGCCCACTGCCGGCTCGTCGTAATACGTTAATACAAACTCCATACCCGGCTGGAATATTACAAAGATCATAAAATATATAAATATCTTGGGTCTTTAACACACAGCACCATCTAGTTCCATCAGGGCTTGAAAGACTGTTATGGTATGGTATCGTTGAAGTTGCTTATCGTTAAAAAATAAATAACTTTAAAGTATTTACCGTTATTTCTTGACCATTTTACCGTTAAAAATAAATAACTTTAATGCCTATTTTAATGATAATTTTAACGTTATACGTACGTTTTGTAACCATCGCTTTCATTGCATCGAAAACGTTGCCAAACCTCATCGATGTTAGGAGTGTGCGTACCTACTTATTGACTCGCGCTTAATTTTCAAATAACTATTAATATATGTATATATATATGTATATATATATATATATATAATTATATATATATATATATATATATAATATAATAATGTGAAATAATAAATAAATGATATTTATTTATTTTAAGTTAAAACATTGACACACAGCACCATCTAGTTCCATGGTAAGCTATGAGGCTTGTGTTATGATAGTTGATACACTACACATATATAACTTTAAGTACATACATATTATAAATATAAACACCGATGACTGGAGTACAAACATTCGTGCTCACCACACAAATGAATGCCCCCAGCGGGACTCGAACCCGCGACCGCTGGCACAACAAGTAAAGTCACTACAAACTGAGCCAAACGTGTCGTCAAAGATTACTAATCATGTGTAGCACTTATTCATCCATTCCATAGTGTTGGGTTTTAGAGGTTTTTGAGTCAATAATATGGACTTTTATATTTATAACTAGCGAGTCCTCCTAGCTTCGCTCGGGTTCGTCCCTAGTTACGTATTAACGTTTAGTATAGATTTCTCAGAGATGAGATATTTTCTCGCAGTAAAAAGTATTCTATATGTTGACAGATCTTATACCAAATTTCATCAAAATCCCTCCAGTGGTTTTCCGTAATGCGCTCACAGACAGACAGACAAAAATTCTAAAAACTATAGATTCGGCCTCTGTATCGATAATAATGACTATTTCAATAAGATTTTCCAAAAAAATATTTAATCTACAGATACAAAATTTTATTATAGTTTATGTATTTATTTATTCATACCTTTTCATTCCCATCGATTGTTTTAACAACCATATGACTCCAGTATTCGGCTACGCGTATCGCGTGCTTCGTCTCCGGCACGTCTGGATGCTCGCACGATTTCGATACAATTATATATACTTTGTTATTAATATTATCTTCCTTATTCAAGCTCTTATAACTCTCTAATGATTTTCTTTTTGCTTTCGCGTGAACATTTATTTCGTATTTAATAGATTTCTCTTCTATTTTTGGTATATTTGTAACTATATCGTATTCTTTATGTCGCCTTAGATATACGTAGTCGCGATTTGCAAATAACCTCTGAAATTAAATTAAATTAACAGATTAATGCCCGATTTCACCAACATCCCATAAGCTACCACCTACATATGGCATCCCTAGCTTAAAAGTCCCCTAAACTAGCCCCTAAATTAAATTTCGTTTTACGATCGTCTTTAAGCCCATATTTCGAGCACCTAAATTTAGGGGGCCTATTAACATTTAGGTGACCCCTAACTGTCGGTGAAACAGAAACTGTCCCCTAACAGCCCCCTAACCATGCTTAGGGGATCCCTTAAACTTAGGTGACGTTGGTGAAATCGGGCATAACTGTCCACAAAATACACACAACAGTTAGACAATCGAAATGTTCATATATGACTCATGTGACAGGAAAACGGTTAAACTTTATTCGATTAGTCTTATACAAGCACTTTCGAATACTTAAGAGTTTTTGGCCAAAAGTACAATTTTCTTTTTTATTTGGCTTAAAAACAAAAAAAACTAAGACCTTAAATTAATACAAAAAAACAAAAGTAGAAACTTTGTATCCGACCGAGATTCGAACCCGGACACCTGTGATTGTCAATCTTGCGCCTTGGCCGTTTGACCACGATGCTTATGCCTCAGGGTGCGAAATAGCGACCCTATTTTGCGTGGAATAATGCGAAAAAAACCGCATGAAAACTCGAAAACACGCGATTCCCCAAACATAAGACTAATCCAGATCGATTTTTCGCCCCCGAAAACCCCCACATACCAAAATTCAGCGAAATCGTTAAAACCGTTGCCGAGATCGCCGGTATAAATAAATATACCTGAATTGCTCGTTTAAATATATAAGATATGTGTACCGGCGACTCACCCTCGCTTTCCTCGGGTTCGTCCCTAGCTTGTTTATCAATACAAACTTTTTAGATGCAGATTTTTTAACCAATTTTTTTTAACTTTTACTTACAATTTTTCAAACAATTTCTTACATACAGACAGACCTTCTCCTAAAAGTTACAAACAGAACAACAAAAGAATAAGCTACATAGGTGGAGCCGTTCTGAAGCAATACGCTTACATACATTTCGGCAATTGATTTTTATTATATAGATTATAGATATTATAAATGCGAAAGAAACTGTCTGTCTGTATTTGAAAAATTCTTTTTGCATTATTTAGCGCGTTTATTGAGGAAGGCTATATGCTATATATCATCATGCTACTACCCAACGGAGGGGAGCAGTAATCATAAATGTCAACAAATCGATCAGACTTCCATACATTATTGTAAAACTGATGTTTACAATCAAACAAATTAAACGCGGGTGAAACAGCGGGGCAGCTAGTATTAGATAAAAAGGCTATTATTGTACGACTTTCTGTGTCTGTCTGTCTTTTACCTTTTCACGCCTAATCCGCTGAACCGATTTAGATGAAATTTGGTATGGAGATAGTTTGAGACTCCGGAATCGACATAGGATAGTTTAACCCTTTTATTCGATGTGCGATATGTGCATATAATATTATAATTTATAAACAGTCAGCACTACCTTTTGACAAAATATAATTACTAATAATGACCTATTTTTTAAACACGGTAGACTATCTACCTTTGTACTACATCTCCCATTCAAATTATAAACAAATAAACACACAAACATACAAACTTTCGCATTTACAACAACAGTATAACTCACCGGCCACAAAACTTCCCAATGCAACACCGCCTGTCCGGGGACTCCCTTCGCGTTCCTTTGAACTACCGCCAAAGCCGCCACCGCGGAGTCCCACACGCGTCGGTAAGCGCCATCTATTTGCACGGCTGCGAAATCACTCGCGGATATTTCTGGATAACGTCCGTACACTGGAAATAATGACATTTTTTAATTTTAAATAACATTTTTTAACTCCTTCAGAGTGATATAAGCCCTCGTCTTCTATACGACAAGACCTACAACATATAGTTTCGCATTTTGGTACACGATTGTGCCGTATCGTCGGTCCAACTTTTACCTACTGTGTGGTTGGCGTTTAGCCACGTTTCATCCAAAAAGACAACTTTGCCCCAATCACTTAAGTTTTTGGCCTTTCTTAAGAATGAACATCTTGCTAGGGCAATGTCAGTCCTCTCCATAATAATCTTCCTTTTGTTAACTTTTTTGTAAACAATGGCAATATCTTTCAACACAACAACAAGCTCCCTGGCCTGACTACCCAAAAGTTTTTTTTTTGTATCATTAGGCATGGTAATAACAACTGTTTCGGACGACCAGAACCAGGGTATGTCTAGTACCCGGAGGTCGACCTGGGACAATCTCCCAGACGTTCTTGGCGTACACGGCAGTATGTCCGTTCGCTGGTAATGTACGCCACCACGCACCCCTGAATGCGTAGCTTGGGTCCCGATCCACTAGGGTTTCTTCGTTGACAGGAGACTATACTTAGAGGCGATGAAATAAAACACAATTTTTCCTTTTTTCTCTCTTGGTTTCGGTTCTTCCTTTTCCTTTTAGTTGTTGCCTCTTCGGTGGCTGTCTTGCGACTGACTCGAATCGAGAAATGGCTCGCCTTTTATTTGGCCCGTTAATACCTTACAGAGAGCCGCGTACTTTGAGCTCGTTTTTCGAATAAAATTTCCCTAAACCGAAACCTTGAGAGTCCTTTTATTTTATGTTTTCAGTAAAACACCTTACACATATTTATTTATTTACATGCCTTACATACTATTATACAATATTAAAACATAATATTCAATATATAATAATTAATTAAAAAAGTCTTAAAACAAAAATATCTAAATTTCTAGGTTGCTACATTTTTACTATACATTTTCCCTTATAACTTTTGAACGGATAGTCCTATCGACCTAATTCTTGTTTTATTATAAGTTTTATAATAAAATCTATTATTTAAAACATAAACTATTATGCTATTGCAAGAAACAAAAAATCTCATTTTCAAGTTACGTAATTATATGCTAACATTTTACTTACGTACCTATTCCTTTCAAATTAATGTTAAATAGTCTTATATGATTCAAATAAGCAAAAAATACTCTAAACTAACCTTATTACACTAATTAGAACTTATTTTAACATAATAAATCTAATAAGAATGAGATTTCATATTTACAACAATTATTCATAATACGCTAAAATGACATTGTCCCTATATTAATACACACGTTACTCGAAGATAGGTTTTCCGTCGCCGACATTCTCCCCCTCGTGCTTTGCACCAACTCCTGGACTCGGCGACGCTCCCGGCACCAACAGCACCACTCTCGAACTGGGCCTCCGTAGAACACCTCCTCTGGTCTCGACGTCGACGACTCTGGTCCGCCCGTCTGGTCCAGGATACACATGCAGGATTCTTCCGCGTGGCCAGATGCATCTTGGTAGGCTGTGATCGACGATCAGTACGATGTCTCCGACTTGCAAATCTGTGGCGCTGACTCTTCCTTTGGTCTTCCTTGGTAGTAGAGTGGGCAAATACTCTCTCAGCCAACGTTGCCAGAAGTGATCGGCAAGTCGCTGCGTAGCCTTCCAGGTGTGTCTGCCCACAAGCTCGTTGTCCTCGAAGCTGCCGATTCTTGCTGCGCCACATGATCGCCCGATGAGAAAGTGGTTCGGTGTAAGTGCTTCTTCTTCAGGGTTCTCGGAGAGGTGGGTGAGGGGCCGAGAGTTGACTATGTGCTCGGCCTCTAACAGGAGGGTATGAAGTACCTCCTCTCGTGGTTGCCTTTCGTTGAGCGTGGCGTCCAGTGCGGTTTTAATGGATCGCACCAGACGCTCCCATGCACCTCCCATGTTTGGTGCACCAGGAGGTATGAACTTCCACTGCACACCGATCTTCTCCGCTTCCGAGATAAGGTCTTCTTGCTTCATGGTGTCTAGTGCTTCTTTGAGTTCTTTGTTGGCGCCAACGAAGTTAGTGCCATTGTCGGTGTAGATTATCTTTGGCATTCCCCTTCTCGCGGCGAATCGTCGTAGTGCCATGATCATGCTGTCAGTGGAGAGTGAAGGAGTGAGCTCAATGTGTACAGCTCGTGTTGTTAAGCATGTGAATAGAGCACCCCATCTCTTCTCATGGCGTCTTGCTACGGTGATCGTCATAGGGCCGAAGTAATCTATTCCCGTGCACGTAAATGGAGGGTTTCCGTGCATCAGCCTCTCAGCAGGTAAGTTGCCCACTGGTAGTTCTTGAGGTCTTGCCTTTCTTGTTTTGCACCACTGGCATTGATGTTGAATGGTCTTGATCGCTGACCTCAGTCCTAGCACCCAGAAGCGTTGTCTTACTTCGTTCATTACGGTCGCGTGATTCCCGTGATTGAAGCGGCAGTGAAATTCTTCTATGATGAGAAGTGTTGTCTTGTCCTTGCTGTCGAGTACGATGGGTCGTTTGTAGTCTCTGGTAACCCCTCGTATCGCGTCGATTCTTCCTTTCAGTCGCAGGAGACCTTCTTCTAGCACTACGTCGAGCCTTTTCAACTTGCTGCTGCCCTCTAATTGTTTTCCTTGCTGTAGGCACCTGATGTCCTCTTTGAAGCATTTCTCTTGACTTCTTCTTAACAACAGCGTTTCAGCTTGCTCTAGTAGACTTGTTTCCAATGGTATGTATTTCCTTTCTGACGTTTTTGAAGACAGATGTCGCTTCTGAACAATTTTCTTATTCCTTTTTGTAGTTTTCCAGGTAGGATCTTCTTTGCTGGCGTGGACCTTTTCCTTTCTTCTGCAGAGTTGTATGAACTGCAGTACTCTTGCTGTAGCTCGCCAAAGTCTTTTCCACGACGAGAACTTTTCGGGATCTGGTGATGGATAGGAGCTGCCTGCAGTCGCTACGATGTCCGCTGCCTTTTCTTCGCCAGTGGTTTCTTTCTTGAATGTTCTTGCCGCAGGCCAGTGAACTTCATCTCTTCTTAGAAACCCTGGTCCGGTGTACCATCGGTGTTGGCAGTCGAAGTGTTCTGGTACGTCACGTGTTGCATCATCTGCAGGGTTCTGCGCCGTCGGTACCCATCTCCAGTCCTGTGGTTTTGTGAGATCTTCTATCTCCGCCAAGCGATGAGCCACGAATGTCTTGAAGGTTCTCGGGTCCGTCTTGATCCATGATAGCACGATACTGGAGTCTGTCCAAAACGTCTTCTTTTCTATTTTCAGATCCATTTCTTCCTCGACTGAGTGTGCCAATCTGCTTCCTAGGAGGGCCGCTTGCAGCTCGAGTCTCGGGATTGACACCGGCTTCAACGGAGCGACTCTTACTTTTGCTGCTACTAAGCTGACGTCATAAGTCCCATTTTGATTTTCAGTTCTCCAATATACCGTAGCTGCATACGCCATTTCGCTTGCATCCGTGAACGTGTGCAGCTCCCCTCGGTGCGACGTGGTGCCAGACATCTCGGGATCTGAAGGTCTTGGAGCAGCTTCATCTTCTCCAGGTAAGTCTTCCATGACTCGTACTCCTTTTCTTCTATCTCTTCATCCCAACCGACGCCACTTCGCCATATGTTCTGGAGCAGCCTTTTGCCTTGGATGAGAATTGGTGATGCTAGCCCTAGTGGATCGAAGGTCGACATCACGGCGCTGGTGACTTCTCTCTTCGTAGGTACCTTGAGTCCTTGTGCCACTTCATCTGGCGTGTTCCGAAGGTTCGCCCTAAAGCCTATGGAGTCCCTTTCTGTAAACCAGCGTAGTCCCAGTGTCTTCTCTTCCTTCTCACCAAGGTCCACCTCTGTCTTCTCAACTGACTCAGTCTTCACGTCTTGCAGCAGGTCGGAGTGGTTTGACGCCCATCCTCGGAGTTCGAAGCCCGCCTTTTTGTGAATGAAGTCCACCTGCGCTGTAATTCTCTTGAAGTCCTCTTCTGAATGGAAGCTGTGCAGGTAGTCATCCATGTAATGGTTCAGCTCGATTGCCTTTGCTGCCTCTGGGTACTGCTTCTTGTAGTCCGCCGCGTTCCGGTTCTTCACGTAGATCGCTGTGCTAGGAGATGATGTCGCGCCGAAGATGACTGATGTCATTCTGTACTCCTTCGGTGCTACGTCACGACGATCCCCTCGCCACAGGAACTTCAAGCTGTTTCTATCTTCTGGCCGGATGCGAACTTGCAGGAACATTTCCTTTATGTCGGCTGCCACTGCAAACGGGCCTTGCCGGAACCTCAGTAATACCCCGAAAAGCGATTGCAGTAGGTCTGGTCCCGGTAGTAAAGCGTCGTTGAGGCTTCTCCCTTTAGACTTGGCTGCAGCGTCGAAGACGATCCTTATTTTCTTCTTCAATGGATGTACCACGGAGAAATGAGGGAGGTACCATGTCTTCTTTGAATCTTCTTGTCCACCAGGTGCTTCTTCTGCATACTTGCTGTCGATTAGATGCTGGATCTGCTTATTGTATTCTGCCTTCAGCTGAGGGTCTTTGTCTATCTTCTTTTCAATGTTGAACAATCGGTTCTTGGCAGACGTGTAGCTTTCAGGCATCTGTTCATCTTCATTTTTCCATAGAAGTCCAGCTTCAAATCGACCATCTTCTAGTCTTCTGCAGGTCTTCTCTAGGATGGTGAGTGCTCTTCCTTCTGAATCCGTAGTGGGTCTTCTTGGTAGTACTCCAAGTGCTTCGATTGCAAAGTGATCCTTGATGGCTTGATGCATCTCTTCTTCTGGCGTGCTGACATGTAGACACGTGTTTAAGAAGTGCACCACTTTCGCGCCTCCAGTGTCTGACCCGTGGAGCACCCATCCAAGTCCTGTTCTTGAAGCGACTGGTTGTCCTGGTTTCCCTCTTCTTACTTCTTGAGTCACGATTAGCTCCCAGTTGTCTTGACCGATGAGCAGCTGTGGTGACTCCCCCTTATAATATAGAGAGTCAG